TATTAAAAATTATGTATTAGAGAACCTCCTTTTGACTATGTCTAGAGATAAATTAGTCTTGAGGTGTGTAAAAACCCATCTAAGAACATTTTTACTGTTGAAAAAAAAAGAAAAGAGATTGGGTTGGTAGATATACAAAATAGATGCTCTAGGTGTTCATTATAAATATGCGGACCATAAATAATATTAGCCAAGCCAGGCACACAAATACATACACCTGGTAACAAAAATAAAAACAATAAAAAAGGAAAAGAGCCATCTGATCGATTAAAATTTTGGTCATTGGGTCTAACATCACGAATGGGACCGATGTTGAACTGCCCATGAGGTCATCAATTTTTTGAAAGTTATGGGCTACCGTTTTGAAATGAATTTTTTTCCTATAAAGTAAAGTAATAATTTCACTAATACTAAAAAAATACAAACAAATCACTATTCTCTCTGTATTAAGATAAATAAAATAATGTAAACTACTGATTATTATTTAAAATAATCTTTAAGAATATTAATGTATGGGTTTTCTTATAGCCTCTAGCCTTTTTAAATTTATGGACGACAAAAAAGAATTTTTTGAACATTTTAAATTTAAATTGTGCAAGAATTTATTACATCGTATGCATAGAGTGAAGTTCGAATTACCATAAATCAATAGAAAAACGATAACCCTATCAAGTTCGTTCATGAAAGATCCAAAATTGCATATTAAAATCATTTTCTTTCATCCGGTTATAAATAATCACAATTTTTTTAATAAAAAAATACAATAAATGTTGACAACAAACAACAACGTATATAGATTTAACTATAGAAAGGGCAAAAAAAAAAAAAAAAAGAAATATATATATAATTTAAAATCATAAAAACGTAACACAGGAAAGAATGAGTGACAGCGGCTGACAGGCAATTGTTTTTCGAAAAGTTAGTTTTTTTCAGAATTTTTTTTTCAAGTAATTTGGTAATGAATTTAATGTTGTAACTAAGAAAATAAAATTTAAGAAACTTACAACAACTAGTGTAATTGCTCACGTGTCATGTACCAAGTATGTGGAACCACGACTCTTATTCATTAAAAAAAGTTATAAATTAGTTCTTCTCCTTTCCAGAAATAAATAAATTTATTTTTTTATTTAAAAATAATCATTTAATGATCTCTTGTATTTTAATTCTGTCAATAACTTAATTTTTCATGGATTGATTTTTTTCCTCTAAATTACACTTCTTTTAATGTTTTATTTTTTTTCTTTGCCTACTCTCTTTCTCTTTTCTCAAAAAAAGAAAAAAGAAAAAGAAAAAAGAATAATAATAAAATAAAAAATACTATTTTAATAAAAAACATATGAAATAACTATGTTACACTGGAAATTAAAATATAAAAAATAAATAATCAGTTTCTTAAAACAAGATTAATTAATTTGTTTTTCTAAAAGAAAGGAACTGATTTATAATTCAGTAAAAAAAAAAAAAACTGGAGTAGTTGATTTCGCTTGGTGTATTTTGAAGTTGGAAGAAACTTTTGCCTACGCATTCAAAATCTTTTCGTTTTTTAAACAAAACGCATTCATAAGCATTCGTTTCTTCGCGTTTTCAAAAATTGATTATATAATTTATGGATATTAATTAACTGGTTCGTCTGATAATTATTTAAAACAGTACCAGATGAATCCGAAATTAAAATTAATTTTTTGAACAACTCCAGTTGTCTAACTAGAGACCGAGGGGAATCTGAAAGGTTTTTTCAATAAAAAGAATCAAGTAACGAGGCTGTATATTTTTGCACAGTTCCACGGTCTAGTGATCGGTCTAGTGATGGTCTCCACTCTCGATTGATACATAAATTGATTCGAAAATATTTTTAATGTTTAGCTGAATAAAAAAACTGAAGAAGGAATTTCTAATATCAATATCACTTTTTTTTCTTTTCTTTTTTTATATAAACATGATCTAAATTTGTTAAAATATCATTTCTACTTTTGTAAGATTTTATCAGGTCACTGGCTCATTGGTTTATTCTTCTATTTTAATGGTATCCCCGAAGGGGAAAAAATACTCTTCAATTTAGTTAATTCCATTTCAGAGGAATATTAATGCAGTGCATTGTTCTATCCCAAGAAAATGAAATCTTTCCTTGCCCAAAAGAAGGAGAATAGAAGATTATCTTTCGGTTAGATACAAAGGTTATAATTATTGATTGGGATAGGTTTGGCATATAAAATCATTAATCATATGCCTGCTTTCAATGTTGAAATCATCGAGTTGAAATTTACAAAATAATAATATTTTTATAATTTTTATCCATTAAAACTATGCTTCAAGTATAAAATAAGTTTCAACTATTATACACATAAAAAAAATATAATCTTTAATATGTCAACTTATATATATAAAAAAATCCACATTTCTCATCATTAAAAAAAACAAAATCAAATAATCTCGATAAAAATTTAGATTAAATGTTAAAATTAATTTAAATCAGACAATAAGTATAATAAAGTTAAAAAACAATAAAAATATATACTCTAGACACAAGTATAATATCTTAAAAGCACAAATATAAATATCTTAGTGTTTTACAAATAACCAGCTTGAAATGAATAAAAAAAAATTGAATTGAATCAGAATTTTATAAATTAAAAGCACAAATATAATACCAGAAACGACTTGTTGATTTGTTTATTTTCCATACATTTATAGGAATTTTTCACAAAATTAATTTGAGATTTGAAAAAATATATATAAAAAAAAAATTGTCATGTAAGTGTTTGAAAAGAGAGCCACTAATGTAGAGAAAGAAGAAAAAAAATATAAGCAAGAACTAGAATAAATAAACCCTAAATCTAAATTTAATATTGTATCTTTTCTTATTTTATATATCTATTTATTAAATAATATTTTATTTATAAAAATAACATTAATATCAATATGGGATCGACTTATTATCAGACCAAATTAACTTAGATTTATATTTGATGAACTTAATAAATTGATTACTATATTCAAATTACGTCCAAGTCAAATCAGATTCCAATTAAAATATGATTAATTGATCATTTTACTTTCAATTATGTCAGGATTCGATGAAAATATTAAAGGAATAATAAAACATGATAACAGTGAATATATTCCATACCTAACTTAGATTGATTTTATAATTACAGATATAATTATTTTTTTAACTATTCATTAATGTAAAAACTTGCCTCGCCGCTAGATACCTGGAAATCACATCAGTTTAGCCAACGGATCAAATATTTGTTTTACGCTTCCTATTCTCTTCATTAACGTTCCGTTTATTTGCAGTGTTAGACAGACTTGTCTCATATTATATATTATAACTAACAATTGTTAATTTAAAAAATATTTTACATGCGTGTCAATGGAGCTGAACAAATAAAATACGTGAATCAGGAGGGAGAACAACCTAATACATGTAGGCCAAGACTTCGACACTTTGTAATAAAATATTACGAACACGTGTTTTTTTCAAAGCCGATGATCTCACAAGTTAAAAAAAAAAAGAAAAAAACCCAATAAAGTGCAATCTGCCAATCTTCTTAATGATTTTTATGAGTGATTTATGCTGTATTAAGAGAAAAAGGAATCACTTTTTTCCTCATCAAGAAAATAATTTGGTTGTTCGTTGTTTTTTAAAAGAGGATATTTTAATACCAAGAGCTCTTATCTCAAAATTAAATTCCTTCTTCAATTTTTATGGGTTTTAGGTAAATCACTGCACTATGCGTTCATACGTTAATAATTAATTTCTTTATGGCCACCTTCCAGCTTCCAGCCAAATGGCCAAATCTCAAAAGGGGAAAAATCTTTTTTATTTTAGTATATAATTTGGTTTCTATATTTTAATTTCACCTTTTACTTCTTCGTTTTTTTTTCCATGATAAATTTAACCTTTTTCTCGTTCCGTCAAAATCGATCCATTTTATTACCACTGCTAGTCACGACATTTTCAACTGTCTACCGTCGAGAAGAGTACTTCTTTCACAGTACATGGTGTCCGTGTCTTCCCAGGTCACTAGCTCATTGGTCTCATCTTCCAGATAAAAAACCCAATATATTTATTTCTTTGTTTCGTTCCCCAGTCAAGTGTTGGTCATGATGGGTGAAGTAGGTGATTGTTGAACAATTAATGAGTATAAAGACAGCCCTTATCTTATGTTCATAGATAGAAAAGTTAACAGTCTTGGATATGGACGATTCATGTTTTTGTAGGGTTGTGTCTTGGAGTGCTTTCAGTTTTTTTTTTTTTTTTTTTTTCTTTTGAATTTTTTTAAGCTTAATTCTTGCCTTTTATGGCAGTGTAAGGTTTTTAAAAGCCCCACTCTTGCCTTACTCAACGTTCTTTGTTTTTCTAATTGACTGGCTGATGTGGTTGTCTGTTTGTTTTCTTGCTTAAGTGTATTTCGTTGTATAACATTTAAAAAGCTTAAATTCCAGCCCCTCTTTGGACTTTTGGCGCATACCCACCTTGTATTTTTTCCTTATTCACATTTATTTTCCATTTGCAATTTCAAGAATTTAAAAGTTGTGCCATGTGTCTGAAGGCTATTGGAGTTCTGTGTATTGTTAGTTTTACTTCAAGGTTAAGGAGTTAGCTGTAATTTTTTGGAGTAGTTTGCGTAGTTGGGTGAATGGGTTGTTGTTAACGAAGGGTTTAGATTTGATGATTTGTGAGTTTACCCTGCTCAAATTCTTGAGGAGAGGTGAGAGCTTGCGCAGTGGGTACTGTTGGTTAAGGGTTTGAGATCTGTGGGTTATTCTAAGTTCGATTTGATGATTTTGGTTTCATAAGAGTTTCAAGCTCTAAACTTGGAGGAGTCGGAGACTAGTGAAATTGGGAATTATTGTTGAGGGGTTTTAGAGTTAGAAACCCGAAACAATTGATTAAGGGTTTTACAGTTGTGGAGTTGGGTCCAGTGAAGATTTTCTTTTTGGTTCTGTTCTTTAGCATTGGGAGACTTAGTGGTTGAAGCTGCTAATCAGATGAAATGGGTAGTAATGGATTTGATCATCCATTAAAAAATTCAGGAAAGGAAGTACTTGGCAGTAACCATGATCTGAATAGGAGTTTCGATCATACCAGTAGAGGTGATGAATCAGTGACAGTTGATTACGTGTCTTCGGAGGAGCAATCTGAAGCAGTGTCTTTTCAGGAAGCAGAGAAGCAGAAGACGAAGTCAGGGAAGCAGCCACCAACTCTAGAGATTTTCAAATCAAAAGAATTGAATTTTTCTCCTTCACCTCGAAGACGTGAGTACTTAGTATTTGGCAGCCTAAGTGGTCGTTTCATTTGCTTTATACAGCATATCTAATTGAAACTTTGCTATTCTTTCCGAATTAGTCCTAACAGTCTTCACCTTGATTATTTCTCTATACTCGAGACAGTAGTAATTCTAATCCACTTCTATTTTTGAAAAAGTATTACACAGTATGTAGGTAGTGTTCTTTCATAATTTGCAAATTGAAACCTGTAGATCAATTTTGAGTTCTAAAATTTATTTTACATTTAATACTACGTGGTTAAGATTATTTTCCCTTTTGTATGATTCTGGAGTTGATTTGTTACGTTGTCTGATATCAAAGCATCTGATCTTGAAGGCTTCAATCACTGCATCACTGCACCTGCTGATGCTCATAGACATCCACTGTTCGATGGAAATGATAATATTACATTCTATAGATCCATGACAGAGAACAGGGCATCAAGGCATGAGCTAAAATTGGATAGACTGTCAGAGCGTGAAAAGGTATTTAGCAAGATCACACACATGGATTTATCTGCAAGTTTCCTTATGCATGATCATATATATTGCTTGTAACCTATGCTTAAAGGCCAGAAATGATTTCTGTGCTTTATACATTTACTCTTTCTGATTATATATAAATTCCACCGCAAGCTGTGTGTCTGCAGAGTATACGCTCCCCTCTTCTTTCAAAATTCCCCTGTTTTATTTTAATTCAAACTACACGTTATTTGTGTTATGACACTCATAACCAACATCTGTGATCACTGGAGCATCTGATAGCCTGCCTCTCTTGCCCCTTTAACAAGGTTTCAAATTTGAAAGTTTTATTTGCTCTATGATATTTATTGCTAGTTTATTGTGGCAATCTAATGATCAGTTATCAAGTGTGATCTTTATCCCGTTCACCTTGATCTGAATCTGTAACTTTTTTATGACTGCATACAATTCTCTCTATTGTTAACGACTCTTCTTATACTGGTTTTCAGAAGAAACTAATCATAGAGCTAGTCAAGATACAAAATGATGGAACAGTCGAGGTTGATATCGATGAAAATGCTCCTGTTGCTTCAGAGTTGTTAGAGCTTCATTCAGTTGAAGAGACATCTTTTTTTGTCAATGATAGCACTTCTGGTTGTAATAGATCAATTCCAAGGCTGAAAATTGCCTTGCTTGTGGTTGGGACAAGAGGAGATGTACAGCCCTTTCTAGCTATTGCAAAAAGACTTCAGGCATGTTCATATAATTTACTTGTTACTTGGTGTGCTGTTTTTTAATGTCATTTATTTCCTATGTCCCAGTTCCAACCTCTTGCATGTCCTATGTATGCATGTCATTTATTATATTTGTATGTTTTTGTTTTTATTTAAGAAAGAGTTGGTTGTTTTGTACTCTATCCTTGTTATTTGCAAAAATTACTGGCAATCTTGCCTAAGTTCTTACATAATTCACTGATAAAATCCTGATGTCAGCATCACGTGTTCCCTGATCTCTAGTCTATTATAATATCATATGTTCTGTAATTTGACTTGCAGCAAAAAAATGATCCAATATTTTCTGGCAGGAATTTGGTCATCATGTTAGGCTGGCAACTCATTCTAACTTCAGCAACTTTGTGAGATCGGCCGGTGTAGATTTTTATCCTTTGGGTGGTGATCCTCGGGTATTGGCAGGATGTAAGAGCTCCCTGATCTACCAACATATGGTGTCTTTAAAACTCCTCTTAGATACTTGATCTTTTTACTTGTCCACTTTCCACTTTGTTTTTCCTCAATTTCTTTGTTACACTTCTCAATTTGAGGACTTAATTTCAGATATGGCCAGAAACAAAGGTTTCATCCCATCTGCACCAGGAGAAATATCCATACAGAGGAAGCAACTGAAGGCCATTATTGAGTCTCTTCTTGCTGCATGTACAGAACCAGATATGGAAACTGGTGTGCCTTTCAAAGCCCAGGCAATTATTGCAAACCCTCCGGCATATGGTGAGCAACAGACGTTGAAATTTTAACATCAGAGTCACTGTGTTACGGATATAGTAGGATATAATGGCATGCACCAAACTCTAACTTGCCCCCTCTGTTGCAGGACACGTACATGTCGCTGAAGCTCTTGGTGTACCAATTCACATATTCTTCACAATGCCTTGGACGTGAGTATTGAGTGATCTCTTGCTTGTGAATTTGAAACAAACATTACCTGGAACACCCGAATCATCACTTTGAATAGCACTTATTTTGACGTAAATCCAATGTTACTTGCTATGGAGAATTATGGTTTTTTTGCTGTTTCCTAGAAAACAAAAGGATAGAGGACAACGATTTTTTTAACTTCTATTCAAATTTAATTGATATGCTTTTAACATTTTCACTAGTTTAAAGTAATTCACATAATTGCTTGAGTTTTTTATGCTAGTTATTTTGATGCAACCATAGGTGACTAGGAAAATTCACATAAATTTGTTCTTAAGTGAACATGGATTTCTGAGTTAAGGAGTATTAGATCGGTCCTGCAAATCAATGGTGTCTGCAAAGGGGCTGGGGATACTGAAAGTGTCAAGCCTTTACCTGTCCTAGTATTTTGTCATTGTTAATAGAACAGGAAAAAAAAGGTCTTAAAGATTGATATTGACCAAACTGGAAATTAGAGGAAAAGATTAATATTGAATTTTAAAGCATGTTGTCTTTAGTGAATGATGCTTTATTTATCATTTGTTTGTTTATCTGTTAGTTTTTTACTTGAGGCTATGCCTTCTCACCTCCATCTTCAATAGGCAGGCCAACATATGAATTTCCTCATCCTTTAGCACGTGTACCTTCAAGTGCTGGTTATTGGGTATGTTCTTTCTCGTGTCACATTTCCCTATAATTTTTTTTTTTTTTTTTTTACCTGTGAATCATTGGACTAATTTCACCGCAAACTGTTTCCATGGATCCAGCTTTCATACATAGTTGTGGATTTAATGATATGGTGGGGAATAAGAGGATATATAAACGAATTCAGGAAGAGAAAGCTAAAGCTTCCACCGATCGCATACTTCAGTACGTACCATGGATCAATATCCCATCTGCCTACAGGTTATATGTGGAGCCCCCATCTTGTGCCAAAGCCAAGTGGTAAGAGTTCCATTAGTTATACTGTTGTTAATGTCTCAAGCTCAGATATCTATGTTGCTGTCTGTCTTTCTTCCAGTACCTTTAATCGGAGATGCATTGTTATGAGGATAGAGGATATACTTTCTCCAAATTATGTTACCTCTATCTCTGAAACAAAATCCATTTTTTTTCCTTCCTTTATTTATTTTTTTTATGGGAAGAGCCAACCATCAAATAAGGTAGAAAGAAATTTTTAGATGTTAACACATATTTAGCAGCACAGGTTCATACAAAAAATGTTTCCCATTATTAACTACTAGCATGCACCTAGGATTGTTTTTTTTTACTAAACTATGATGAAAATACTTTTGAGGTTATTCTTTCTTTCTTTCTTTATACACATTTCATGTTTCTATTGCAGAAGAAGAGCTTAGCTATCTACATGGTTAAAAGTAGTCACAAACTTATAATCTATTCTCGGTTCAGTACTTTTAAGCTGGAAATCTGCAGGGAGTCAGTTTAATCAGCTAATCATTATTATGGTCGTTACATTTTCTTGTACTTATTTATTACTATTACTGCTATTTTCCTTCAGGAGGGAGAGCTAGACAGACCAATATTTTTATTTGCTCTCAACTGCTAATGCTATTTGGAATTCTTTATCTACTTTGATCTCCACAACACCATCCACCCCCCCCCCCCCCCACACACACACACACACACACACACACACTGCGGTTCCTTTTGGGAACATTAAGGGTGTTTTTTTTTTCTTATAGTCATTGTAATAATATTTCTAAATGGTTGAGTGTAAACGTTTGTGCTTCAAATGCATAATCGACTTTATTAACTAATCTGCAGACTGGGGGTCCTTAGTTGATGTAGTTGGTTATTCTTTCTTAAACCTTGGATCAAAATATGAACCTAAAGAAGATTTCCTGCAATGGATTCAGAAAGGAACAGAACCCATGTATATTGGATTTGGGAGCATGGTATGGTGATTTCCCTTAAGCTTTTATAGTTGCATTTTTATGCATTTTTTTCTTTGTTTGTCTGTTTGTTGGCTAATGTACCTCCCCATGCAATTAGTAGTTTGAAGGTGTTCCTTTTGATACATAAATTCTGTGACTTTTACTGTGGATTTCATGACATTTGCTAGATTGTGAACCAGAACAGCTTTTACCGTCGATGAATGAATGAGGAATGAATGAGGCCTAGAAGAGTTCGGGATTGTATATGTTGGAGCTTGATTCTAAATTTAATTTATTTACCAATAATTTCTTAGTGTCAGTGAAAACACTAACTGATAATTTGTGGCCAAACATTGTAACTTGTGAGATAGCAAAGTTGAGTTCTAAATTTGTGCCTAACTCTGAAAGGCTGCTTCAAGAAAATCTTTACGTGATGATTTTGTAAATTGGTCTGTTACGTGTTTGAAGCAATGAATGATGGATTTATTAACTTGAGCAAAATTAGTGCTCTGATATTTTTGACCAAATCTTTCAATTACAGCTGAGTCCTCTTCTAAATTCTTATTCTCAGATGACATATGGGAGTGGAAAGAACTTCAAAAGAAAAAAGAGAGAAAAGATACGATTGAAAAAGAACTATTGTTAGTACTTAGGGCTCACTGTTCTCTGTCTTTTTATTTGAATATTTTCTCATCTTTGCTTGGTCTAAATTCCAATGAAGGATTTTTCCCTGAAGTAAATTTTGCAATAATAGTAAGTTTGCATCAATCAGGACTTGTGCTGTTGAAGCATATTAGTTTCCTTTTGTTATGTTTCTTTATAACTCAAAATTAAATTGTGCATCAACCCTTCTGTTTCTTTCCGTTTTGTTTTATATTCATATAGTTGGTCAATAGAATCTTCTTTTCTTCATTAATTTTTTGGAGGCATAAATGAAACTATTTATTTGTTGCTTGTGAAGCCTCTTGAAGATCCCAAGAATACTATGGACATAATATTGGAGGCTTTGAAAGATACTGGACAAAGAGGAATAATTGATCGAGGTTGGGCAGATCTTGGAAATTGTAAGCATTTTCCTACAATACGGAACCCTTGTAGTACAAAAAGTCACATCATGGTATCGTTCTGATTTGCATCAGTGTACAACTATATTTCTGTTTGCACAGGGCTTTGTTAACCGGTGAATCTCTATCCTTTTTTTTTTTTTCTGTCATTTGAGTGATTTGTGATTTAGCAATTTGTTCAACAATAATTGAAAGGAATGCTTCATGGAGGCATAGCTGAAGCTTCTAAATAAATATGCTTTATTTAGCTGTACATATATCTACTTAGGTCAAGTGTGGCACTTTCCAAGATACTAAATAAATGTACTAATGTCCATATGTTATTACTTATTTGGCTGATATTCAGCGGGATTGTGTTGCCTTCTCAACTTGAGTTTTGCTTTCTCATTTCCTTTTTTCTTCTATCCCATCCACATGTGACCACAACTTGTTTGATATGACATTGTAGAATTCCTCATGTATTGTTGCCGATTTGTCATCTTTGCCATTATAATAGTTTGAAATCTCTTTCATTGTGTGACTTTTGATTTTAAATTGAAAACACACGTGCTTACTATGATGTGGAATATGTATAGTTTATGTTCTGATTGTCGTGTGTCTTGCAGCAATGGAAGTACCTGACACCGTCTTCCTTTTGAAGGATTGCCCTCATGATTGGTTATTTCCTCAATGTGCTGCCGTGGTGAGTGATATTATAAGATTGTAATTAAGTTGCAAAATAAAACTTTGCACACTTGGCTGGTATGGCCTTTTCTTTTTCTGCCTCCTTTTACCCCCTCTCAATCATACTTTCTTCCTAACAACTCAGTAAATACTAGATTGTCATAAATTATATATGGATCTCTGCTATTGCCTAGGTTTAATGATATGGATGAATGACAGGAACGCCTATTAGTAATGCAGTAGAACACTGTGTTACTCAAGTATATTGGTTGCATTTGTAAGCCAGATGATTAATTGGAAACTGTTTACAACAATATGCAGGTTCATCATGGTGGTGCTGGAACCACAGCTACGGGACTAAGAGCTGGGGTAAATGCTCTGTTTAAATAGTTTTTTTATGATAATGGCCTCTTGATTTAATACGAGAATGACTCGTCTAGATAAATCAGTTGCAGTAATATGGATCCGAAGGCATTATGTGCTTGGAAATGGCATTAAGATTTATAGTTTGTAACGTATTCAAATATGATGCGACTCAATTGAACCAAGTTCACTTTCTAAATGCTGACCTTGTCTCCTTCAAAAATGTTAATTACAGTGCCCGACAACTATAGTGCCATTCTTTGGGGATCAGTTCTTCTGGGGTGATCGAGTGCATCAAAAAGGGTTGGGACCTGCACCGATACCAATAGCTAAGCTCAGTGTTGAGAGCCTTTCAAATGCAATAAGATTCATGCTAGAGCCTGAGGTAATTGCGCTGTGTTGTACATGGCCTCCCAATTCATGGAAGAGTCAACTCATAGAATATTGCAAAAATATCAGATCTCACTGATACGATTTTATCTTCTCATTAGTGTTTGTTGGTGGTTGCAATAGTAGTTACCTTAATTTCTTAGATCAGAAAAACTTGCTAATTCTTTTCTGTTATATTTCTTATAAGTTGATCATTCCAGTCATCTTTGAAGATATAAGACTTGATCAATTAAGCTGCAAAAATGTGTTTTCATAATAATTTGAAGGTAGATACCTCCTCACACCTGTCTGGAGTTTCTAAGGAACTTCAGATTTCCTCATCATTTGATGGAGTTAAACACAGATCAAAACAATTGGAAGTGTAGTTTTGATGTTATTGAACATAAGTATGAAAGAAGCACTTTCTACATTTGGGTGTCAAAACCACCATTAAAGGTGTTTTCCAGGTGCAGAACGATTTCATGTTCTAAAGAAGACAATATTTATAGAAATTCTTCTGAATTTAGGTCCTAAATGGAGCATAATTGTATGCGATTAACCAGTTTTAATTCTTCTATTATGTTTGCATATTGATCACGATGTTAGCCTATCACAAACTGCAACATGAAATGGGAACTTGCACGGTCACTCTTCCTATACAACACTTTTATAAGTAGCTGCCTTGTCAAATTCCTAACGGGACTTTAAACTCGGTCAGGTCAAATCTCGAGCTATGGAGTTGGCTAAGCTGATAGAAAATGAAGATGGTGTTGCAGCTGCAGTTGATGCATTTCACCGGCATTTACCTCCCGAGGTACCCTTTCCTACCACTTCTTCAGAGGACAATGAAGAACCGGACCTCCTGCAATGGTTCTTTATTCAAATTGAAAAGTGGTGCTGCCTACCTAGTTTTTAAGCTTCTTGGAGGGTCTTTTTTTGATGTGTAGATATGTTTCTTTTTCTTTTTTCATTTTCTTTTGATTTTTACATATAAAGCATCATTTGTTTTGGCATTTCATTCATTCCATTCATAGCTGGTATGGTATCGAGAGACAGTAAAAGGCTACATTTTTTTGCATTGGTTGTGCAACAATACTAGTCTTCTTGTTACTTTTATTTATTTTTATTTTTTTGGTTTTTTTTTGTTTTTTTATAGTCTTCGCTTCACATTTGTAGCAATACTAGTCTTCTCTTCACATTTTTTTCAATGGTTGTGTAACAATACAAGTCTTGTTACATTTTTTTGATAGTGGTCTCTTTACATTTGTAATAGTAATTTGAAAGAATGATTCGATAGATTAAGATAATCTGGTAACTCAAAAACCAGTTTACTGTTTGTTTTCCTTTTATCAATTCTCGTTTGTTTTATTGCCGAAACCCAGTTGTTGTCCCGGGTGCATGTCATGATACAACGGCAGGGAACTCTCATAAATCAAACACCGTCGTGTCTTTTTGTGTTCTACCTTTGTTGCTTGGAGGCATCCAGTGGGATGACCGGATGTCTGACCATCAACAACCAGCTACCCCATTTCTGGCCGTTATGTGATGTTTCTAGCCACGGCCAAATGCCTTATGGTATCTTTGAATTTTTTTCTTCCTAAGGCTTAATGAACGTCATGCTTGCTGTCTTTTTTATAGTATTCGGTGACAATTTTGCTTTCATAGTTTTTGAACTTGTCTGATATTTTCCTAGTGATGGTGGTAAACGACATGTGATGATAAGAATGGTACAAAAGAGCAATCTAGCTTTCTGCTTCAGCATTTTTCTCAGAAAAAGAACAACGAGTAACTATCTACTGATGCGTTAAACAACCCTGGATCTGAATTGAAAACTTTACCGAAGACGGTAACTTTTTAGTGTATTTTATTTGTAACAGCAAAATTTCAAAAACTTGACATGTTCTGGTTATCACATTGCCTTGGAGATTAAACCAAGTCAACTCTGCATCTCCTTTTCTTTTCTTTTGTTTTTTTCAGCAGCCAAAAATTCTTTGCTTACAGTAGAAACCCAATAATGGGAGGTTTTGAAGTTCGGAGGAATCTTAGAGACCCAGTCACCCGGCACATTGCAATCCTTTTTGCCTTGGCAAATCATAGTAAGATTCGATCGTTTTTTCTTGTTTCTTGGGGGGCGTCATTTAACACATCAGTTGATTAACAATTCAAGTTAGACATGCGTATTGGAATTTAGTCGATTAATTATCGGAAGAAGTTGAATTCACAGATCACCTCTTCAATTATTACAATATAATATGAACATTTTAAAAGTGGTTACCATGTAATGTCTCTATTATTTGTTGTTACTGAATTGAAAACGTCACGATGACTAGCCGTCTCACATCCCGTGAATTGCAGAATCAGAGACAATAAGAGAGTAGAAGCATGAGGACAAAATAAAAGGTCCATTTGGTCACAATTATGAACGTTTATTAAGTAGCCAATACTCTGGTGACCTGCTAGTTAAAGAGAGACACTTAGGTTGCTGCGTAACGCGGTAAATCAAAGCCAAGAGAGGTTGACTTCTTGAGTGCTTTGTGTTCAAAAGCGAAAGTAATGCCTTCTGTTAAAAAGGCGTTCAACTTCACTTTTTTCACTTAGAAACTTACTATCCTTTGACCACCTTCATTAGGTAAGTATGAATTGATTTTAAAACTGAAAATTTTAAATCTTTCGAACTTTTGGAACCGAAGAAACATGCATAAGTTTTGTGGTGACTGCGAAGACAAGTAAAAAGTAAGATTTGAAACTTTAATCTTTTGTTGGAAATTCAAAGCTACTATCATTGAATCACTCTTTGTGATTGAAAAAAAAAAAAAAAGTATTCAACGGATATATATTTCGAAACATCCAGTTCAACAGGACCTCATGTTTCAACTTGTAATCATCCTTATCCATGGGTTCAATATTAAAAAATTCCGAAACCATTTCGAAGGCAATTTTACCATCTCTTCCCGAGAAGAGTATTTCAAGGCCATTGATTTTAGATATTTTCAAAATCACTCGAGAAAGTAGTATACGGAGCTAACAGAAACAGAAGTAGATAGAATTTACTTTTGAAACTTAATTATTTTCCATCTCACAGGCTACCTTATACATAGCTACATATATCATGATCACTTCTTATATATTTTGATGTCTCTCCACCTTGATTCCATGTAATAGCTTATATTACGAGGTGCAGCATAAACTCCACATTTGAAATACAGGTCTCCAGGCCCTTGATCTTTGGTTGAATATTTTTCTTCACCATCAATGAACACAGTCACCCTTCCTCCATCCACATCATGGATTATATTCAGCCTGAACCACCTGTCATAAAGATCAGTAGCCACCAAGTCTCCACTATAGTACCTCATGTTGCCATCGTAGATCCTTAGTATCAAAGTGGTGGCTCCATGAGAGGCACCGTGTATCTGTGCTACTGTCACACCTGATGTTCCATTTGGCACAAAACCAAAGCCTTCAAATTGCCACACTCCTGATGAATAGTCAAGACCCTACAAATTCATGGCAAAGCAAAGCAGTGAGACAAAAGAACTATGTCTGATCGAGTAGAATATGTACTTATTACCCAGTCATATTTTGTTTCGGTAATTTGGACAACATTTTTTGCCAGCTTTTGTATATATTGCATTTAAATACACATGCATATATGGCACAGACAATGAACTATGTATAATTCAAGTGGCATTCGTCTTTGATTTCAATATCCTATAAGAGAGAAGAGAAGGGCCGAGGGGGTTTACTGTAATGCGAACTTCAGTTCTTGGTTGGGTCTGACTACTAGGGTCATGTGGCTTATCAGTAGCATAGACCCACATATGGCGAATTCCATTTTCATAAATATATCGCTCATTTAGCGCTACATTATATGGTTTCTGCAGCTGAAAATTTGCTTCTGTTAATGGCACAGGAGTGAAACCATCTGTAGGATCAGCAGCACTGCATAGAAGGTTGAAGTTTTTCAATGAGACAAGGGCCAAAAAGAGAAGCAGAAGAGAGTAAGATCCTGATCCTTCCATTTTGTTTCCTCTTTTCTTTAACTCTCACTAGAATGGTGCGAGCTTTAAGAAGCTCAAGGCAGTTATTTATAAGTCAGCAAGAACATTGCTATTCTGTAATAAATTTAGGAAATAAGAATTAAACATTGGACTTGTATGAATGTCTTTTTCTTGCAATTGAATACTATAATAATTCTCGCTAGAACGTTGCGAGCTTTAAGATGCTCGAGGCGAGTATTTAGAAGTCAGCAAGAACATAATTATTCTGTAATAAATTTAGGAATTAAGAATTGAACATTGGACTTGCATGAATGTCTTTCCTTGCAATTGAATAGTATAATAACTTTTCTTAATAGGAATTCATAAGAAAGATAGACTCTTTGTACTCAGCGTTTTATAAAAATAAGAATCAAATCTCTAACTTCATCGACGAAAAATATTTTTTTTACCACTCAACCATATTTTTGGTGATGACAGATGTATTTTATTAAAATAAATACTACCATCATATGTAGTGTGGTATTTTTGGTTGTTTAATCTATATCTATGGTTTCGATATAATGTCATGGCTCCTTTCATCTTATCATTACTCGTGTATTTTATATATTATTCCCTTAATAAGTGAATGAAACCAAGTGGCCGTCGCATGAAATTTTTATTCCATCTTACCTTGGCTAGAAGCCAACAAATTGTTCTCAGGTTGGAACTAGCTGTCTCTGTTCTCAGCCAATCCCTGATCATTTCGTTTCATACGGGGCACGAAGCCATATTTTAACTTTTGTTTACTATGTTACCGCAGTGATTTTACCTGATTTTCCTTGCTACGTTCACGTCATTGCCTGGTAAATAATGCGTGACTCTTGTAACCAACCTGCTTACTTTTCATCCAAAACAAAGTAGAAATCTACTATAGATTCGATGGTTTCCAATAGCAGAGCTTTCTTCGAGTTTGTCTCGCAGTTTGTAATGCAGTTTAGAGTTAGTATTAAATTTGAAAATTTCGATTTTTATTAGATAAAAAGATGATATTATTCAAAATTTACCGTTGTATTTCTGTGTTAATTTTCTTTTTATTTGTAAGAGAATTGTTAAAATAGAAGATTAACAGAGCTTATAAATTAGTTGTATACTCTTCATCAATTATTTGTATTTGGTTTGTATCCAATTTCCCAAATAAATAAAATTAGTTATTATAGTTGTTAAAAAAAAATGTTTTTGTTATCTCAATAGGTTTGGTTAATGTTAGATTAAGGCCTGGTTACAATCTGGAAGCCCAAGCATTAAAGCCCAATCTATAATGCTGGATAATGCTAATTTAGCTGAGAGAGTTCGGGGCTCAATCAGAAAAGTTTCAAGTTGCCAAGTTGGTGTGTGAAAAATGGTACCAAACAAAAAAAGCAATGGAGGAAAGTGGGAAGGAAAAAAAATGAAAACTGTAGAAATTTCCATCCCAATATCTTTTCATTCCTTGGGATTATCTCTATATACTAAACTATAGATGAAGGTAGTTAACTGTAGTGAGGGCATAAATATAAAATGAAAAATTTTAAAATATTTAAAGAATAATTAATGTAAACATACAATAGTTATTTTATAGATGTTTATTGATTATTGATTTTTCTTAGCTAATAATTTTAAAAATTTTTGAATTGTTTCCATAAATTTAAACTTCTATATTCATATTTTTGTTTAATTTAGACAATCCAGCCAAATTAAATCTATCATTTTGGCAAATTAAATGAATATTCAAAGTAGTATAACTTATGTTCTCATGCATCAAATTTTCAATTTAATATTTGATATTTTTCGTTCTTGAATCCTGTACTGTAGCAAATTTCACGTAGATTTTTCCAGAATCCTAAATTTTATTTGAATTTGATGCTGAATAATGATATGAATCAGTGATAAATAAACAGTAATCTCGCCATCTTGCTGTCTCCATTGATATCAACCACTTAATTTTTTTTATTTTTTTCTTTTGTAGCTAGTAACACAAAACAGAGCTAACAGGAACATAAATATAAAGACAATTTTTTCCTTAATATATTATAATATTTCTCTTGCCAGTAAAAGAAAACAGAGCTAACAGTAACAGGATTATAAAGAGAATTTTTCTTCATAATAATAATATTTTCTTTTGCCATAATAAGCTTAATTTAGCCACATATAAAAGTGATACATCGTTTCGTCACTTCTTATATATTTTGATGTCTCTCCACTTTGACTCCATGTAATAGCTTATGGCACGAGGAGCAGCATAAACTCCGCATTTGAAATAGAAGTCGCTTCGTCCTCGACCTTTAGTGGAATACTTTTGCTCACCATCAACGTATACAGTCACCGAATCTTTATCCACATCATGGATTATGTTTAGCCTGAACCACCTGTCGTAAAGACCAGTAGCCACTAAATCTCCACTATAATACCTCAAATTGCCATCGTAGATCCTCAGTATTAAAGTACTTGAGTCCTCAGCTGCACCATGTATCTGTGCTACTGTCACACCTGATGTTCCGTTTGGCACGAAGCCATAGCCTTCAAATTGCCATACTCCTGATGTATAGTCAACACCCTGCAAACAAAATAAATCAAACACTAACACACAGAACTATATACATATATATATTTGAGTCTTTTTTCTATTTGGCTTTATTAGATATAAAAAGAAAAGGAAAAGGGATTGATTACTTTCATGCGAACTTCAGTTCTTGGTTGAGTGTGACTATTAGGGTCGTGTGGCTTATCAGTAGCATAGACCCACATACGGCGTATTCCATCTTCATAACTGTATCGCTCATTTAGCGGTAAATTATATGGTTTCTGCAACTCAAAGTTTGCTTCTGTTAATGGAACAGCTGTGAAACCATCTGTAGGATCAGCAGCAATGCATAAGAGATTGAAGTTTTCCAACGAGCCAACAAGGGCCAAAATGCGAAGCAGATAGCAATAGAATCCTTTCATTTCTTTTTTTTTTTCCTTAGTAACTCTTGCTAGGATGGTGTGTGAGCTTTATGATTCACAAGGGAGGTATTTATAGTCATGAAACTTATAACAAGCAGGAACTATTTAATTTGAAGTAAATTTGGGAATATTAGAATTTTACATTAGACTTGTGTGAATTTGTCTTTCTTTGCAATTGAATAGTGGGAGAGCAAATATGCCTCCTTTTATCCGATGTAAAAAATGACAACTTTCTAGAATAAAAACTGCCAAGTCACATTTTATTAAGATATATTAGAAGGTAAAGTGTCTTTTTGGGTTGGTAACTTTCTATGTGACTTCCGTAATTCTATTGAGAATGCCCTGGCTGCTGTTTCTTATCATTACTCGTGGAGTAGTACTATGTGATATTGGCATATTGCCTTAATAATAAAGAGAGAACCCAGAGGAGCTTAGAATACAATTTTACCCGAGATAACTAATATTATTCCATATCTCAACTTTTGACCAGTGGCCAAGAAATTGTTAGGATTGGAATTCACTGTCTCCCTTCTCAGCCTATCCTGATCATTTAATTTCTTACCGGACACGAAGCTTGTGGACATGTTTTTCTAGCTAGTTTCTACTTCGTTTTCTACGTTGTGCCGCTTTGATTTTACATAATTTCCCTTGTTATGTTCACATCATTGCCCAGTAACAGTGATGTCATTCCTTTTACTAATCTAGTTTTCTCATCCAGAACGAAATAGAAATCTACCAGCTGGATGGGACAGTGACAGTTTATTGTAATGAGCAGTTTGCTATCCAATTTTTGCTAGACATTAGCCTTGTTGTCCCTTTGCTCTTTAACTACCTCACTGCTTCATCAACCTCTTCGATTTATACGGACCCTAATTTGGGATAAAGTACTAATGAGACAGAAAATTTTCATACTTGAATCATAAGATCTTCATTCGGAGCATTGAGCGTGGAGCTTACAATTACTATTATTAGTTAGGAGAAATGTCCCCTGCTGTATCATACCCATTTTTAATGTAACCGAATACCAGTAGTAATTAATAATAATGATAATGATGATATCTCTAGTTAAAGACCTAAGTGAGTGATAATTTATGAATGAATTTGACTTACATATGTGCAAATTGATTTAACTTATTATTTCAAATTTTAATTAAAAATTAAAAATCATATGTATGCTTATTTGGAATCATTTTGACTTAATATTAAAATTTATTTCTATTTTTTTTGTCAAAATTATAATTTAATCAAAAGGTAAAAGTTTTTAATTTCTATCCTATTAATTTTAACTCATGCTTTCTCCTTTCTTTCTTTTTTTTTTAAAAAATAAAACTTTTAATTTTGTTTTCAAACGCACTTTTAATATAAATCATAAATCACTTTTTGTTTCCTCAGGAGTAAGAAAGCAAATGAGTCGAGATGCTTAAGACCGGGGTTGCCATGACTCGAGCTTCAGCTTATTTGTTAAAACAAGGTCATCGAATAAATAAGTCGTTTCTCTTTGGGTGAAAAAAGGGGCCAACCGGCCCAAGAATCTTGCAACTACGGTATGCAAAGTTGTCGGAGTTGTAACTGCGATACCATCAGCAAAAACGCAAGGACAAAGCTCACTGCGGGACTAGTCTAAATGGGCCTGACATTCCATGGTTTGTCCTTGCTCCATTTCTAGCCAACCAATCAGCGCGAGTTTGAATTGAAAAAGGACTCACGATAGTTTCGGGCCACTACATTTTTTTTTCCTTTGAACGGCAACTAAATCAATTCTATTTCGATTCAGTCCTCTTATTATGGCTGATGACGATCTGGATGCCTAACATTAAAGCCCAATCTATAGTCACTAGACTCTTTTTGAGAGTATATAATCTTAGATTCTACTAAAGCCCGAATGTAAAATTTAGTCTCTTTAACATGCACAAAGTAAAATAAAAACTTACTCAAGTGAGTTTTTTTTTTTTCCTTTCATTCAAGGGTAAAGATACCTTTCAATAAGCTTATCGGTTCTCTTCTTAAATAATTTTGATGATTAACAAAACGTAATCTGTTTTAGGGGAATAAAAAGGCCTTCTATCAATAATAATCGAGAAGACAGACGGCCCATCACTCATTTACCTAGAGAATTATTAAGTGCAATAATACTGAACGCTTCCTTTAAAATTGCCAGCTGATCCACACACTGATAATGAAAATTTAACTCGGAAATAATTTACTTCAAGGATCATAATCGATCTATCCAAAACATCAGGCAAGAACTGACAATATTACATGCATTAATTAAGGATTCTTTTTATCTCATCAAGCACATCATCTCCGCAGTTAAAATTGTAGTTTTAAGTATGTAATGTATTTACTTATTACATAACTAGTTATCCTACAGTGCCATTTACCTTTTGCGGGGAAAAAAAAGTCAATCCCGGTTAGGCATTTACCCAACATGCACATTTTCCTCTTTTTATGACAGCGGTGATGGTATCATGTTCCTCGACTTCAGGGTTTAGCTTTAAGGCTCAGATAAGAATAGATACCTGCCTTCATTTTTACATGCATAGTAGATCACAGTAAAAAACCTGTCCCTCATAAGACCTCGAATCTCCGCCTTTTCTTACGCCACGCTCACTGTCTGTTTTTCCACAACTGCCACCATCACCAACACTGCCGCCATGAGGTGGTGGTTCTCACCGTCTAAAACCACCGGCGGTTTAGGACTGGCGGCAATTTCTTATGTGGCGGTGGACTATTTGCGCCACCTGTCACCAACATGGCACCAGCGTCTCCAGCCAGCATTATGGTCAATACTCGCTCTCGTCGCCATATCTCGTGTCCCTTTCTACAAGCACTGGTCGTCTGAGTTTAGAGCTGCCATTCCCTTTGTTGCTTCTATGATGTTTATGCTCGCTTGTTTTCTCTTCGAGGCTCTCTCTGTGCGCTTCGTCACTGCTGTTCTTGGGCTTGATTGGCACAGGTAATTGCATCGTTACTTTTTTGTTTTTATGCTGTGTTTTTTCATTTTAGCAGTAATGATTTTTGGAACTAGTTTGGATTTTATTTATGTTCTTTTTTTTGGTATGGCTTCCTCTGCATTATGTTAACTGTTGAGTTACTGATTTGGAAAGATATTAAATTAGCTCTGGATCTGTTCTGGTTTTGACTTTGAATATCCTATGGTGTAATTGATAAAGTAACCGAACTGATTCTATATTAAGGAAGTATAGTAGATTCTGATTGGTGAAAGGATCTAAATTTTGATTCAGGTGTTCTCGGTTGGGATGTTTTTGTTTTTGTTAATTCCTTTCTAATTAGATCAGCCAACAGTCCAGGTGGATGTGAATTGCCTTAGTGTAAGAATCAGAATGAACTCTGAGATACTGTCCAGATTTTGCCCAGAATGATAGCTGCCTGTTTTTGAGCTTTAGTGAAATAAGAACACCTACTCTGCATTTAAGTCTTTTAAGTATTGCAATTGCAAAGAGTGCGGATTAAATGCTTAGCATTTCCATATTCAGATTATAGAAAATGTAGATGAATTTATTGGAGAACCTTACCAGTCCCGTACATGGAAGTTTAAAAAAGGGTTAAGAAAGAAAATTATTACATCTGTAGGTGTGAAGAGCCCTGACATTGACTTGTGCATTTAGTTGGGCTAGTTGATGAGCTGCAGATGGTTTTCAAGATTGTTTTCGTCTTGGCAGTGAATCCATTATGTGTTGCATTCTCAACGAAGAGCAAAACTAAATTTAAACTGGAGTAAGTAAATGTTTGATGCCCCTACTTCTAAATTAAGATCCATTACATTCTCAATTTAGCCTTGCTGATTCCATACTTGAGACTACGTGTAGAATTATTATTCCCTCAAGAAACATTCTCTGGACCCTGAAGAATCAGAATGTTGTACTTCTAACAAATTTTGAATGTTATTTAATTGTTTGCTAATTTCAAAATGAAGATCTCCATCCATTATATGATGATTTAACTTGGCATGACTTGTATTTGTTGAAGAAATTATATATCCTGCCAAGAGTATATCTTTCATCTCCTCAACTATTTAGATTTGAAAAATAGCCATAAATGTTTATTGGATTCATGTCTGACTTGGTAATGTTGAGCAGTGATACATCTCCTCTGCCTGACACCGGCCAGTGGTTGCTCCTTTCACTGAATGAAAATCTTCCTGAGCCACTGGTCGAGATTCTAAGAGCTCGTATTATTGGACTGCACCATTTCTTGATGTTGTTTATGATGCTGGCTTTCTCTGTACTATTTGACTCCGTTGAAGCTCCTGGCCTCGGGCTTGGTGCAAGATACATGTTCACTATGGCAATTGGCCGTCTTCTTCGGGCTATAACTTTTGTATCTACAATTCTACCATCAGCCCGGCCTTGGTGTGCTGCAGCTCGGTTTAGAGTCCCTGCATACCCTCATCACTGGGCTCAGAAATATTATGTTCCGTATGCTTCAGATGCTGATGCCATTCGTCAGATAATAAATCGGGATATAGCTTATGGTATGTTCTGTATTGAACTTGAATTGCACTATTTGTTTGGTTTTCTTAATTTTGTGTTTGGATGGTTTTACCCAACCCTCAGACTCTAGAATGCATTTTCATAGATCCTTTTGTTATTGCCCCACATGAAGCCTATGAACTTTTTATTGATCTAACTGGAACAAATAACTCTTCAGTAGACATCTATGTGAACTCACTGCTCATATCACTGGGTGGGTGACTCACACTTTCCATATACTCTTCAAGTCACTTTAGCTCATAACCATGAATTATTTTCCTGCAAATGTCTAAAGGGATTCATTTCAAGCCACTTTAACCAGAATGAGATGTTTATATTGTTTTTTTGTTTGGCCCGGCACTAAACAAATGTGTTATGGTATTTTCTCTAATAAGAAGATTTGAAAGCTCTGACAATTTCAATCTGATAAATTTTATTCCTTTGGACGGTCTTGCTTATTTTTAGTGTAGACAAAGGTCTTAGGCCTGTTCCTACTAATATGATGAAGTTCTATGTGGTTGTTGTAACTTGTATGAGCTATGTTTTCTTCTTCATCACTAAGCTATCCTGAATTATGCTAGATGTGCTCTTTTGAAAGGATTTTTTTTTTTATTATTATTTTTTTTTATAAACCACTTTTGTACGGAAATTTATGTTCACATTTACTTTTCTTTTCAATTTTGCAGCTGATAGTGGGGAATACCTTGGTGATTACCAGCCAGATTGGGGTTCCATGAACTTCCTCATAAATTTCTTGCGACCCACCCTTGCAGAAGGAGCTTCATGGTTTAGTCTTCTGAAGAAAGCTGGAGGTGGCTGCAATGACCTCCTGTACAGCGGCCACATGCTTGTTGCTGTGCTGACAGCTATGGCTTGGACGGTAATCTAATACTAACAAAATTTGAAACTGCATTATCCTGTTGTCTAATGGCCATTGCTGTGAAGTTTAAACTCAATTTTTTTGGCATATGATTGTAGGAAGCTTATGGAGGCTTTAGCTCAGCTTTTATATGGCTGCTTGTAATGCACAGTGCTCAGAGAGAAATTCGGGAACGCCACCATTACTCAGTAGACTGTGTTGTAGCCATTTATGTAGGCATCCTTCTCTGGAAGATGACTGGTTTTATCTGGCCAGCTAAGAATTCAGTGAGAAGTAGAAGACTCGCAAAACTTGAGAGAATTCAAGGTAGACTAATCCAAGCTGCAAAAGATTCAGACATGGACGAAGTGAGGGAGCTTCTCAAGGAGGTTGAGTTGGGCAATCAAGAGAACCAGAACAGAGGCCACAGCAGGTATCTGTGGTTGTTTTCTTGTGCGACCATTTTCTCAGCACTGACAATTGTCCTTCTAGCCTTCACATTGACAAGTGACGGTTGATTTTCCTGACACGCTTTTTTCTCATTGTTATCGGTTTTGACAGTGTAATTCCACGCTTGTAACAATTTCGTTGTTGTTGTTGTCGTGTCAGTACTGACTGTTTAATACGGATGGTTTTGGGGAATTCATGAAATTGTGCCAAGAAAACGATCCCCAGAAAAGATGATGAAGAGCAGGTTCTTACACGTCCAAACAAGAATGAAGCTGGGTAGGCTATAGAATTTATATAGGACATCGGATTAGGCTTCGTAGACCTTTCGCATGAGTCGATTGTGTACCATCTGATGCTTGCAATGTGAGATGATGAGGTTTTAAGAGTTGAACGTTTCTTTTTACTCTATAATAAGCCTCAGTGTTGCTGGTCCTGGAAAAAACTTTCGGTATTCAGAGGACTCGACTCTCGAGTATCCATCACCCCGTAAATGGACTAATTGATATATAACCTTAGAATTGGTATGATATTCATTTTTATGAATCATTTAAAATCAATTCTAATGTAATTATCGATTAATCCATGAAACTCAACAACCTAACTCGAGTGAAAGTAATAATTAAGTGAATAGGGTACGGAATAATGAATATTGTTTGAACATCTGGTGTTTCTAGGATTGATTGTCATTCAATCATTAATTAAAACAAAAAACAAAAAAAGTTGTTGCTCTAAAAACTTGGAATGGATGAAATTCTTGCAATTTTCTCTCACAATTTGTTTGAGAAAAAGGTGAACCAAGGGGAAGGAAAAGGACGAGAGAGGGATGAAAGTTAATACACCTTAACGTTGTTTGGGAAAAAAATTATTAATGGAGGGAAGGAACCTTATTCTCCTCCAAAGTCTCACCTCCAAATTGGGGTTACAAAAGAGAATGAAATAACTCTTATAACTTTTTGACATTAATTTAGTATTTTATTTGTTTATTTATTTATTTTTGAAAAAGAAAAAATCAATTTCATCATTTTAACAAATACAAATTTTCAACATTATTTATCAATTTATCTCCTCACCTCCAACTGAAAAGGCACGGTAAATTTAATATCTATTATCTTCTATTCTCTTTTCTATCCAAATATATATATATATATATATTCTCCTTCTTATTTATCCAAACAAAAAGGGTAAAATAAATTTCCCATCCACTCCCTTGCCTTCCTTTTTCTCCCCTTATCAAAAAATTTGTACATGAGTTTGAACCCATTTATACTGAAGAAATTCCTTGTAGTGATAAAAATAAAGTTGTCGCGTGGCAAAAAAAAACTATTTCCAGGAATGCGGGACAGTTCTCCAGTACTCTCACAGTCTCACTTCTCCGCTTTCTGCTAAAACAATCACACCTTATTATCTTACAAAATCAGGTGGCACCGCGTCTTATCCCAAAGACCAAAAGGTAAAGTGGACCTAGAAAACCATCCGAAATCAGACACGTAACCCTTACTCCCACCATCCAACGAATCAGAATCCACCTAACCTTAAAACTACCCCGTATATCAACCATACGGTAGCATTTCCCTTTCGAAAATGAAAGTCAAGTAGAGAGGATTCGCTCTCTCGCTACAAGCATCTGATCTCCGCTTCTTAGCGAAGGAAGGACAAAAGGACACAACGTCTTTTACCAAGCAGATATTTTTGCCTCTCCGATTATTATACCCAAAAAAATCCGTTTTAGGTTTCTGTTTTTGTGGATTCTCTCCCTGCAGGTGAAGAAATATCTAATCCAAAAAATGCCGATTTCTTCTCTTTCAGCGTCAATAATTCCTTCATTGAATACTCCGAACTCCACTTCGAATTACTCTTCCAAATTATCTACGTTTTCTTCTCTAAAGTTTCCAGCACAGCTTCGAAGACTTAAGTTTCGAAACAGAGGGGTTTCCTTTCACTCCAGGTCGCGAAATTTGCCTCTGGTAACTTTTTTTTCTCTCTTCTTTTTAGCTCTTTCTTTTTTGGGTTGAAATTGGTAAGATTTAAAGGTTTGTTGGGGACTGGTACGAAGTGATTGCTGTTTATTTATTTATTTTATGTTGGTTGGATTTGTAGTTGTTAGGTCTGGCCGTCTGGGTGGCGTAAAAGGCTTCTTTGATTCCTTGTGATTTTAGACGTTGTCCTTAAATTCTTGGCTGCTGTGAAAAACATGAGAATGAATGGGATTTGCTTAGAGTAATTACTCAATACAATCTTTTAAATATGGCAGTAAAGTTAGGGACTATTTGGTTGCTCTTTTAATCTGTCTTTTATGTCGATGATATTGCTGTTATTCTTCCCAAAGAAAGACTTCCACAGTGGCTTAAAATTCTCGCAATTGCTTTATGAATTGAATGTGCTTTCTGAAATGTCTCACATTATGTCCCACTTTATTGTTCTTGCCCTCATGTGGAACTAATTTAACGAAAACGTTATTCTGAGAAGAAATGACTTGACATTTTGGACTCTTCTTCTACATTCGGGATATTTGCTCTTCGTTTATATAACAATTGATAGTTTTGGTGGTCATTGTTAACCTAATGATTGTCACAATGATAACTATATTTGTTTTAGTTTCTATCTCCAATGGTTTAACTGTCATTCGATTATCCTTTAACCATTAGTTTTCGAGCATAGACTGATGAGGGTCATTTTAAGTTTAACGCATTCTGAGTGATTTGATATCTGCACAGAGTAGCTCATAAGCAAAAATCTTAAAACTACGGTGTTTGAGAGAAACTTGTAACATATTTGGTGGAGTTCGTTATGGGGTAACTGTGGTAAGCATTAGTCAGACTTTTATTTTATTTTTATTTTTATTTTTTTCTTTTATGCTTATCATCAAAATGGACGGCTATGGAAAACCATGGGATTTAATTCTCTCTCATATTTTGGTTTTTCCCAATATCTGTGTGGACTTTTTACAATTTAAAGAATGGACTAGAATGATCAATCTCACAATCTGACTTTGATTGAATTGCTGTTAATACTGGCTTTATGTAATGCTTTTGTTGTGTGGCTGAGCTATCAAATTCAAACTGCTATTTGTATTGATTCTTTTCTTTGTTTTCAAATGATTATCGCAGGTAGCAGCAAAGAAGCAAACTTTTTCCACATTCGATGAGTTGCTAGAAATTTCTGACAAACCTGTGTTGGTTGACTTTTATGCAACCTGGTAATTTACTTTCTTTTCTTTTCTTTAAGATTTCCATTTGTACTCTTCCTTTACATTATTGGAAAAGGATGTCATGAATGGAGAGCCAAACAATCATCTGAACTCCAAAACTGATATTTGCAGACTCACCTTTATATATATATATATATATATATATAGAATCACATAAGTAGAATTAATAAGCTAGTTGTCAGAGAAATTTTACTGGGATTAAACTTTTGATTGGCAAGGTTATGAACTTTTGGCTACCGAGTAGGTTGGTGATGGATAAGGATCTTTAAGATTTGCAGATGTTTAGCATTTTGGAATGATTTAGATCTCAGTTGAATATAAGTGAAGCTAACCTGTCTTGTACAGGTGTGGTCCTTGTCAATTTATGGCTCCAATTCTCAATGAAGTCAGTGATGTCCTGAAAGACACGGTCCAGGTGGTGAAAATTGACACTGAGAAATATCCTAGCATTGCTGATAAATACAAAATTGAGGCCTTGCCTACTTTTATCATATTCAAGGATGGAAAGCCTTATGATCGTTTTGTAAGTTGATTTAGTTTCTCTTTGCTCTCAAGTGAAAATAGCTATGCGATCCTGAGATCTGTTCAGTTGTTGCATTAGGGCCATTTTCTAAATATTTGCCATAGATGGGAAAAAAAGGGTTTTGTTTCTTTTTTTTTTTTTGAATTAGCAAAAAATGGATTTATGTTCAAATGTAGTTTTTTTCTGAATAGAATTCTGCAACGGAAGTTTTCTAATTTAGAAAGTTTATACTAGATTTTGGAAAACAATTTTGTCTGCATGTTGGCTACTGAAATGCACAAATCTTGTTTCTGAGACTATCAAGTCAGGCCCTTTACTCTTCTGTATCTGGGAACATACATCTGTTTGCAACTTGATTGTGAATTATTAAAGTCAGCTGTAATCTTTAGGTTGATCCTTTCAAACTGACCACCCAACAAAAATAAAGAGAGGATAAAGGTTTGCATGTTTGACCACACGGCCTGTGTCCATTAGAGGAGAGTGATTCACCTTCTTCGACTTTATAATTGCTATATTGTTTTAAGTTTTCCTAGTTCTATTGCTTCTTGTTTTATAGCCACTTCCTGTCATCCATTTGCCAGTTTGAGTTTTATAGCGATCTTGGTTCTATTATTTGCAGGAGGGCGCTTTGAATAAAGATCAGCTCATCCAACGCGTTGAAAATTCACTGAATGTCAAGCAATAGCAATGGTCAGCTCGTTTGTATCCCCCTTTTATCTTCTTTCCATGATATGTCTACACATTGTGAAACTTTTGGTGAATCAGACTCTGAGTCTTGTGCTCTCTTATGTTATTCCACTTGCAGTTCAAAGATCAATACAATGTGAAGCCATTATACTCGGATTCTTTAAGGCTAAATCACCCTGCTCTTCCCAAGTTCCCATCATTTTCCTTCTTCTTCTTGTTTTTTTTTTTAAAAAAAAATCACTCCATGTTTGAAACTCCTGCGTAGCGACCAAAATTGTTCAGGTTCTCTGAACGTGTTTGATCAATTCAAATTGTGATGACATGTTGTTTTAACTTCGGAAATTTTGCTAATGATTTGTATCTGTTTTGTAATTTTGGTGAGAGTTCACTGATAATTACTCCACTTGTTGCCAAAAAAAAAAAAAAAAAAAAAAACAAAGAAACTATTACGAAGCTGTAAACTGATAAATGCCAATCAACAAATATTGATCTTATTTTAGGCCCTAGCTTTGACGTTTTGGGACTTTCTGACCAGGGAGTATCATGGGACAATAATGCAGGCAGCATGCCATAACATGGACGATGTTTTCCCCAAGTTTTTAATTGGAACACGGGTCCGACATAAGATTGACAATCCCTACTACAAGGATTGTACAGGGAAGCAAGAAAGTTCACTAATATCAGCTAAACAGCACACTGTTGCGGACATAAGAATATTTAGGACTCAAAATTAAATTACAAAGAAGCTTAGTGTTCTGAGGCTTGCTTCTAACAGTCTGAATAATCCATTTGATAGTGACCTCAGGAGAAGAACCGACCATCGGCCTTTTGTTCTTTTCTTTCCAAATACCGTAAATTGCAGCATTCCAGGATAGCCTTAAGAGGACAGAAACGGAACGCTTCTTTTGCCGGTCAGTCGTTGCCCAACTAAACTCTGCGCTCCAATTACCCACAAAATCACTACACCACTTCTGCGAGATAAATAGCCAAAGAATCTTAGAATGATCAGTCAAATAAAAGATGGTTTCTACTTTCATCTCCACTGCTAGATAACATATAGCTAGCATCGATACTCATAAGAATTCGCCTATCCGTAGTTGTTAGCCTGTCATTCATCCCTTTCGTTCGCTTATCTTTCATTTAATTTATTCCACGTGTCTATTACTCAACATTTCCTTCTCGTCCAGTCCAGATTCTTGAATATTACTTTGAGGAAGTTCTTGAAACATTTTAGTGATTGGACACAAGACCTGACTGCAAATATGTATGGGCCCAGGTGGCAGAAGTTTGGACTTTGGAACTAAATCAGGGGCCCAATTTGACCCGAACCAGAAGAGTTAAGTCCCGAATACTGTACGTGTCCCGCTTTCTTGCAAGAACCCGATCCATGTGCAAGTTCTGAAAGTGAAATATTATCCCACAACGGGGAAGAAGATTCAAGAATTCAGATGGAGATGGAGATGGAGATGAAGATGAGAGCAGGTGAAGATGTAGAAATAGGCGAAGACATAACCCCCCCGTTGATCCCTCTGTCTTTCGCACTTCACGATCCTTTCCTTCACTCTCACTGCTCCTCTTGCTTCTCTCTCCTCCCTAATACTAGTATTCCCCACCATCACCATGTCCCCACACTCCTCTACTGTTCCTCTCTCTGCTCCTCTTCCCACTTCTCCCCCGCCGAACTCAACCTCCTCCACTACGTACCTTCCTCCGACCTCCGCGCCGCCCTCCGCCTCCTCCACCACTTGCTCCCCTCTTCCTCCGACAGAATTTGCGGTTTATTGACGAACCGAGAGAAATTGATGACCGACGAAGAGATTTCAGCACGCGTAAGAGACGGAGCGAGGGCCATAGCAGCTGTGAGAAGGATGGAGATGGATAAAGACACAAATGAAAACGAAAAGGACGCTGTTTTGTTGGAAGCTGCGCTGTGCTTGGTGCTAACGAACGCCGTTGAGGTACAGGATGACGAAGGGCGCTCCCTCGGAATTGCTGTTTATGGCCCTAATTTCTCGTGGATTAATCACAGTTGTTCTCCTAATGCTTGTTATCGATTTATCATTTCTCCGCCTGACAATGCGTTGCCGCTTAGTGATGAGTCCAGGCTAAGAATTCTTCCTACAGGCACCAAAGTAAAGTTGCGGTGATTTCCATCTAAAAAAAAAAAATCACTATTGGTTTCTTTTGTTATTATTATTATTATTTGGCTATAGTATATATGTCTATTTTTGTGAATGCTGTTCTGCAGGGTGAAAATGTTGTGCATAACAAAATTGAATTCCCAAAAGGTTATACTGCATATTGATGATATATTTATTTATTTATGAAGAATTCGTATTTATTACGAATTGGTTTGTTTGATTTTAAATTTGTTGTTTGGCAGGATGTAGTGGAAGTGGACCAAGAGTGATTGCTAGGAGTATTAGGAGGATTAAGAAAGGTGAGGAGGTGACTGTGGCATACACAGACTTGTTGCAGCCTAAGGTAGTAAATTTCTTTATCACTTCCTGTGCTGTTCTTTTTTCTGGTCATGAAGGTTCAAATACATGAAATGATTGCAAATAAATATTTACACTCTATTTTTGTAATATCGAATTCTGCAATAGAGAATCCAACTTTCTAGTGTGAAATATTTACATTATGTTCACTGATGCTATTCCAGGAAATAAGGCAGTCTGAGTTGTGGGCTAAGTATCGTTTTATTTGTTGCTGTACGCGGTGTAGTGCATCACCCCTGTCTTACGTAGATCATATTTTGCAGGTAATGGTGTTATATATTTTTGCAATACTGTGTGCATTGTGGTTCTGATGATCATGCCTGCTTCAATGAAAAGTTTCCAAAAGAGAATTTATAAGAATTATGATATGTTTTCCTGTCATTCTTGCATCACTTTTATGAGAATTTTTAGGATAAGTGGTTTAAGACAGGTACAGCTGTGATCAACCACTAAGATTCTCCATTGAAGTTGGCATTTGTCAATGGCCATGCCACATGATCAAGATGATGATTAAGGCCTCATCATTTCGGTGAAAAGTTTTTCCAAAAGAGAATTTATAAGAATTATGATATGTTTTCTCGTCATTCTTGAATCATTTTTATGAGAATTTTTAAGATAAGTGGTTTAAGATGGGCACAGCTGTGATCAACCACTAGGATTCTCCATTGAAGTTGGCATTTGTCAATGGCCGTGCCACATCAAAGGCCAATGGTGGTGGATGTAAAGTAGATGATTGACGAGCAACCCTTTGTCATTCTTTCTGTGAACAAAAAGGCTTACTTTGAGGCATTAGTCATTTTGATTTTTCCATCAATTAAGTGACTATAATCCCTTTTTCTTTCTTGCACCGATGTAGGAAAATGTTGAGTGTGTTCTTGTTCTGGGTTTTTGCAACTTTTTGTAAACAAAAAGGCTTCTTTCTCACTGTGAATTATGAGGTAATTTTAAAATTAAATTCTTCTGTCTAACCTCTCTGAAAGTTCAAATCCTATGATTGGGAGGGTGAACTTATTTGTCTCTTTGTTTGAGAAATAGGTGGATGACTGATTCTACATATTGTTTTGAACACGCATTAACCATGAATTATCACATCTAGGAAATTTGTGCTTCAAATCTGGCCTCCTTGAGCTTAAGTTCCGAACTCAGCTTTTATAAGGATGAAGCAACTAGAAAGCTGACAGATTATGTAGATGAAGTTATAGCTGAGTATCTTGCTGTTGGTGATCCTGAATCTTGCTGCAAGAAGCTTGAGAACATGCTTAACACTGGCCTCCGTGATGATGAGTTAGAGGCCAGAGAAGGAAAATCACAGTTGAACTTCAGGTTGCATTCGCTGCACCACCTTGCTTTGAACACATATACAACTTTGGCTTCTGCTTATAAAATACGTGCAAATGATTTATATGCTTTGCATTCTGAAGTGGGTGGACATTCATTGGAAGTTTTGAGCATGTCCAGGATCAGTGCAGCATACTCATTGTTGCTTGCAGCGGCAACTTACCATCTGTTTTGTTTTGAATCTTCTTTGATTGCATCTGTTGCAAATTTCTGGGCAAATGCAGGAGAGTCCTTATTAGCTCTTGCTAGAAGCTCAGCATGGGATTCTCTTGGAGAATGTGGGTTGCCTGTTTTGAATCTTTCTTCTCTAGCTAAGCACAATTGCTCGAAGTGCTCATGCAATTTATATCTAGGTCAAGATGAAACTCAAAAGGCAGATTTTGACAGCATATCAAGCAGGTTTCTTGATTGTATCAGTAGTTTGTTGCAAAAGGTTTGGGGTTTTCTAATTCAAGGCTGCTGCTACTTGAAAATGTTTAAAGTTCCCACTGATTTCAGTTGGCTTGGGAAATCCTTAGACATGTGGGATTTTGATGCTCATTTAACCCATAATGATTTGGATTTCAATTGTTGGACCAACGAAAGTATTTCTGGAGTTGAGGCACTGGGGTACACCGACCAATGTAGAATAAATATTTTTCAGCTTGGTGCTCATTGCTTGCTCTATGGAGGATTTTTAGCTGGCATATGTCATGGTCCCCATTCTCACTGGATTAGTCACATTCGGTGTACTCTAGATTACGAGGGGAAATAATTTTTTTTTACTAAAAACCTGCTTACATGAATTACACATGAAGCTGGCCAGCTAGCTTGAAACCTGCTAGTGAACCCATTCCAGTGGTAGATTGAAATTTTATGAAAATTAGGTTCAGAGGTCTGCTGGTTCCAGATTTTGCAAGCCTCCTGCAGTGCACAACCAAGGGATACCGGGGCAGTTGGTCAAGTAATGATCTGCAGCCGCACTTTGACCCAGCGCAAGCCAAAAGCGTTCATTCCCATTTATAAGGCTTCCTTAACCTAGTCGGGTGGGCAGTTACAATCATCAGTTTTATACAAGCTTCTTTGATTGCCAACGAGATTTCTTACACCTAAAGGTACAAAACAAACGGGCGCGATCATAGATTGCACGACCATGACTGTTATGGATTATGCATGGGGGGCAACGTTGGTAAGCTCTGTGAGGTTGGGCTAAAATTTCATAGCATTTCGGCCCATGAGCCAAACTGTAACACCTTTTTTTTTTTTAATAATATAAAAGATAGTTGAGCTGCTTTCACTTGTATATTTTTCTCTTCCATTTAATTGAAAACCGCACAAGTTCTGCGAAATGACACCATAAAGATAGGCCGGGCTGGTATGACACTGCCCAGTTGGTACATTGGTATTACCGTATTTAGATGGAGGAGAATGTGGCGTTGACATCGGTGTTAGAATAGGAAAAGAGGCCTAGGGTGTTTGAATGGCAGGTTTACTGTCATTATCAACATATCTTTAACTATCCCGATCCCACCATCATCTGACCCAACTCGATTCCAGATTGACTGCTTAATTATTGGATACAATGGATGATAAAAATTAGAAAATCAAATATGACGGGTCGGGTGGAGGGGTCAAAGCTTTTATCAATCTACTAAACCCGACCCGACCTGCACATAATCAACCCATCTACATAACAAGGCACCAAATTAATATAACGTTTGAAAGTCTTAGTTCTATCCTAGATAATCTCTAAATAAATACATAATTTTACATCCTAGGCCTATTTTTTCATTCCTTCATCTTTCCAGCCGCACAGGGCACAACATCTAGTCTTCCTCCTCCTTTCTTTCTTACCAGCCATTCGAACTCTTTACCTCTCAAATCCATCCATCCAAGAAACTGTTGTTTTCTTTTTTCTTTTCTTTTTTTGTGAGTTTGTTATTCTGGTAAACAATTGAAGTAGAGATTTTTTTCTCTTTTTAGGTTTTTTTCTCCTCGTTAGATACAATTTTTATAGAGTAGATTATAAACTAATCCCTCTCGTTTTGAGAAATAAATTAATTAATCCTTCTGATTTTAAAAACTAATTATTTAATTCTTTTTGCTATTTATAATTTATTTTAAATTTTATTTATAAAAACAAATATAAAATAACTAAAAATATAAATGATTGATGAAAAATGAGACGTTTTATAAAATAAAAATAATAATAAATTAGTCGTGATCAACATTAGTTAAAAAAATTAAATAACTAGCTTTAGAAACTAGGAGGACTAATTAATTTGTTTTTCAAACAAGAGGGACTAATTTATAATTTACTCTTTTTTTGTTATTTTTTTAATATAGATTTTTTTTTTTTTACAGAAAGAAAAGGACGATTCAGAAGGAGAGAAAAACAATTATCCGAGGAGTATATATAATCCACCAAATTGCTTCCTAACCCGCTTTGTACAACCCACACGGATGTTTGATATTTTCGGTCGGGTCGTCTGGAAAAAATGTGATAGCGGGTTGGATATCATTTTGGTTCAAACCCGACGCGTGCACATCCCAAATCATCGTCATCAGATAACAATTGAAGATAATGTTTTCGTTTGTTGATCTCTCAATATGTCCATTTAATAAACTTGGCCACACCATGTGCTATAAGTTTCGTGGAGTCCACTAACTTCCATGTTACAATTCCTTCGTTTTTGTTGGATCCATAGGTTTCACGAGCCTGTACATGTGGCTCAACACTTGTCTTACGCGTTACTGTGCTGATCCTTGCATTTTGGATTTCCTTAAGCCTTGTTTGATTTCATTAATACCTAAAGGTTTCGTGAAAGGTCATGCTTCAAAATTGAAAAAGAAAGATGAATACCCTGAAAAATCCATCTTCGATAGAAAGTCAACAGTTCAGGGATAAAGTGGAGCGAGTCACGAGAAATCACTCTCCCAATTAATAGGATGATTTTAGCGCTCCCTCTATGAAGCAACGCCACCGCCATTGCAAACTGAAATTTACTTATTTAAACATTCCGTCGACAAAGATAATATTTAGGGTAGCTTCTCATGTCATGAAAATGACATGCGGTTTTCAAGGATAAGGTTCTTTAAAACCACACTCCAACGAAGGTAATTTTATTTTTATTTTTTCGGTTCATTCTAAGTTCCATTGAATTTGAAGCTAAATAGCAATGGGCCAACCTTTTCTTCAGTTCTACTTTTTTCTTAAAGTAAGCAAAATTTAAGTCTTCTCTACAGTTGATTTCAATCTTCACTTGATGTCATGTTAAATGGTTTGACCCACGAAATTAGCTAACATGTAATAATAAATAAATAAAATTCATTATTTTTTAAAAATAGTTTTTATCTTCTTTTTAACAAAAGAAAAGAAGAAGAAAAAAGGTTAAAATTTTTAACATGATCAAAGTGAATCTCTAAGGTGGATATAGGAGAATTTTTATAATACTCAATGAATGAATAATTATTATATATATATAATCGTTATTTTATAGACTCATTTTATAAAAAAATAAATAAATAAATAAAATAATAAGATAGATAAAATTAAAAATATATATATTTGAAGAGAAAAAATTTTAAAAAATATAAATCAGTGGAGAAATTTTATTATTATTTTTTATAAGTGTAGATAAAAAAAATTTTATACGTATATTTTTCTCTTAAAAATAGATGCACGAGTGAGTAATTACTTGATTATTAAAATTTCTCGTGGATGTACCTTTTGCCGACGCGTGCCCAAACTTCAACTGCCATTCGATGGGCCCTAACCACCGTCCATTTAACACCCTGGTCTAGATAAATAGAATAGCCAGTCTCCTTTTCTTTTTCTTTTTCTTTTTTTCTTTTTAAAGCCTCTGTAAGTTGAAAAATTGAAGGGAAATAAAATTCAAAAGGCAGTATAATTACATCCACGTGGCTTTATAAACCCATACCATTATCCTTCAAGATCCAAGACACTTTAAAAAAAAAATCACATATGTCGATTGAAAAAATATCCATATACTAGCGCAGATAACGTCTTGTGCATGAATGGGAAAAAAATCATTAACATTTTACTCTTGATTTATAAAAGCATATGGGAGATGTATAATTTCATTCTATAAATTTCATACAAAACTAAATTAAATGTTTGACTACAGTGAATTTTAGTAATTATTATATTGACCAGTGTAAAAAACCATGTAATTTGGATATTAAATTAGGCTACATGAATCAGATTTATATAATAATTTCTTTAAAATAAGAATTTAATTCAATTTATGCTTTCAATCCCTACATAAATGGGATTGGTTTTATGTGACTAAGTTATACCATGTCTTATAAGTTTCTGATGGTGACGAAATTTCGCTAGGAAAAACTTTTTCCGTCACCAAATTAATGTTGTCGTGAATACAGACCATTGTTGTAAAATTCCGAGTAATATTGACCGCTCTTGATAGACGTAGGGTCGTCTTATAAAAGAAGACCAATTTTTCCAAACAACGCAGAAACTGCAAAAAAAAAATCAAAAATAATTTATTTAATCTTATTAATGCTTGATTCGAAACAAGTGAGATGATAGAGAGCAATCCGGGACGTAATTTTTGTTAAAAGCCACCATCTAATTTCCTCCACGGCGAAAAGAACTTCATTAAAAGTAGATAATTATATAATCCGTTGATCTAACCATCCATCTAACGTCTATTAACTTTTGGCCAAAATTATAGAGGAGATCGATCATCAGAACAAGCCACTCTTTGCCATCACCTATAAATAGCCCCACAAACCCAAGCTATACCACAACACATAACAACCATCCCAACACACTCCTGCTTATTCATTATCTTTGTAATACCTTCTGTGTGAGCATACTTTGAGGAGCCCCACTACTACCATGGCTGAACAGAAGCACCACCATGGCCTCTTCCACCACCACAAGAACGAGGAGAAACCAGTTGAGGCTGATGTCTACTCTGAGACCGTTGGGTATTCTGAGACTGCCACAGGTTATGATGCTCAACCTCCTCCAGTCCCGGATGTTGATTACAAAAAGGAAGAGAAGCATCACAAGCGTCTTGAGCATGTTGGTGAGCTTGGGACTGCTGCTGCCGGTGCTTTTGCCATGGTATAATGTTTTGTCAGTTGTCACTCGCCAATTTAATTTTTTTATGTTACTATATATTCTGGTTAATGTTTTGAAGGTATTCCTTTTATTTTATGTTATAATATTTAACAAAGACTTGTTTTCGATCCTTCTTTTTTCTCAGAATGATTAATTATTGCTATATTTAAACTCAAAAAAAGAAGAAAAAAAGGATAAGTTGGTGGATTGTGTGTCGAAATATGTATATAAAGTTGAATTCTCTCGCGCGTCACTTAACATTTCAATGGAAGAATTATACACACAACTCTTTAATTTTTTATTAAAAAAAATTACCTTTAATATTTAATTATATTTGATAACTTGGGACGAATTATTTTTATGAGCACCTATATATTAATCCTTGTTTTTTTAAGAACAATTGTCTTTTTCTCTGATATATTTGTTCCTTTAATAATTTAGTATGAGAAGCACGAGGCAAAGAAGGACCCAGAGCATGCACACAGGCACAAGATAGAAGAGGAGGTTGCCGCGGCAGCTGCAGTTGGATCCGGTGGATTTGCATTCCATGAGCATCATGAGAAGAAAGAAACCAAGAAAGAAGAAGAAGAGGCTCACGGAAAGAAGCACCACCACCTCTTCTAAGTGTTCTAATCAATTAATATATATATATATATATATATATGCTTGTCGCCCTTTAATTATATTGGTTGTATAATTAACCATGACTATAGTTATACATCACCCACCCTAGATAGTATTTGTATGCAAGTGATTTGTGAAGCCTTCCCGTGTTGGTATCTACACCTGCTAAACCGGTGCCATATGGCTTTTCTACCTTTGTAATGCAATATTCTTGTTTATAATAATATCTGAGATGTTTATATGATATTATATTTAATAATTATTTTTTTGGTTTTTATGAAATAGCTATTATATTTCTGTTTATCATTCAAATTAAATGATTTAGTTTTTTTTTTTCTAGTTATTCAATTCTTTCGACTTTAGAGATCCAAAAAATCATTACTACTTTACATTACAACTCGATTGTCGGTTAATTTATCACTCAATCAAATTGGTTTCATTTTATGATAACACAAAGATCGAATGCTCTTGAATCGCTTATCTTGTGTACATGTAGACCTTTTTTGCCTTGATAGTCTTTGAAGTAATGCAAGAATAAAGTTGAAGTTAATTTCGTTTGATTATATATATATATCTTACGCTAAATTTTTTTATATAAAAAAATACACTAAAATTAAATAAAAAATTTTTTAAAAGGCAGACAAATATGGTCTAATTAGACCTGTCTTGGGGGAGGGGGGCCTTATGTGCCACATGGCGGAGGCTAATTGGGAAAATCACCCGGATCCACTAACCTCCGTTTATTCAAATAAAAATAAATGTGTCCAAAATTTAATTAAAAAAAATTAGAATGCTAAAACAAGTAGCCAACCAGAGAATAGCTACACACAAAAAACGGCAAAATCAACCAAACCCCAACTCGCCAAGACAATCAGATTAAAATAACTGCCCTGTGCAGCTAAGATATTTGGCAAAAACTAGCTCCTCAACCGGAAAACACAAAAAACCGACCTTGAGCCTGTCATGAAACCACCAAAACTCTCAAAAATAAATAATTGAACATTGATTGCCAATAACTACTCAAACCAAGCGTATTGAATAATATTGCACCATCATATTTCAAGATTGATTGTTTTGAAAGGCAAGTAGTAAGTATTAATGGTGGAAATGTTAGTTGAAGGCATCATTCGTTCGCATGTTAAGCGGCATCAACCGATTCTTCCGTTAATTTCGAGTCGTCTATGTGTTTGTTCTCATATTGTCAATTTATACCAGCAATAACAGGGCACCATTTGTGTTATTAGCTAACCTAAACCTTTCAAGATCAAAAAAAGGCGGAAGAAGTTAACCTAAACCTTTGAATATTTATATATTATAAAACAAATCAATGATTTTATTACTATGATCCAAAGTCTGAACTATATAGTTCGCACCCATAAAATTGGGACCACCAAGTAAATATAGTAATTACCTAAAACTTAACAGAAGAAACAAAAAGATAACTTACAATTAAAGGGGGAAAAATATACACGTTGATAGTCTGTAGTATTTACGGATCTCCTGATAGGCGCGTCCCAAAGGAAAAAAATTAAGGATTACGTAAATCTCCCAAACCTTGTTAAATAATTTTAAAGTTTATTATTTTAAAAACTTTGTGTCACGACAGACGCGGAATGGGAAAATTATATAATACATCGAAGTAGCTAGTGACGTATACGATAATTACTTTATGGATCCACTTTTAAAAAAAAAGATAGACATATTTAAAAAAATAAAAATTACATATATATCCATCAAAAGTCTTAAGAAGATTTCACATTCGTTCAAATTTTTTTATTTTCTCTCTCTTGTTTTTCTCTCTCTTTTTTGTATGTCTATCTCTCTTTTAGAGTGAATCCATAGAATAATTATCGTACGTATGTCACTAGTTACGTCTAGTGTATTATAAAATTTCTCCTCGAAATGATCTCATAAAGTCCATAAATATTTTATTTTTTTAATTAGAAAAGAAAATGAGGATAAATATTACTCCTACTCCTAATAAAACTAAAAAATAGTTGATATTCCTAATAAAGCCTCTAATAAGAAAATTATTTTATATTAACTTTTTAATAAATCCTAACCGTCCATTTGGCCCCCTCCTTTATTGTATAGCCAGATTTCCTCATTACTATTCGCATTATTATTTTATCTTATTATCAATTTGCATCATCACCGCTCTTTATGCATGGCTGAAGGGAAGCACCACCACAAGGACGGCGAGGAAGTTGATTACAAGAAGGAGGAGAAGCACCACAAACATCTTGAGCATCTTGGCGAGCTCGGTACTGTTGCTGCTGGAGCTTATGCGTTGGTAAATTAATCAATTAAACTCATCGTCCGTTAGATCGATATTGTTTGTTTAGCCATGACTTGATTGATTTGTTAAATAATACTCCACTAGATCATCGAGGATGGGTAGTAAGCAGGTAAAAACACTTGTTTAACGACAAAGGAAAATGAAAACATACGCAGAACCTTAATTAGTTACAATTATCCTCTTGTTGATCTATCTGTGGGCATATCTCTTAGAACAGTGTTTCTTTCTTTTTCCTTTTTAGTTGATACTAATTTTTTTGATCAAATATAATCTCAGCATGAGAAGCATCAGGCAAAGAAAGACCCAGAGCATGCACACAGATTCAAAATAGAAGAGGAGATTGCAGCAGCAGTTGTAGTTGGATCTGGCGGAATGGCTTTCCATGAACATCGCGAGAAGAAAGAATTCAAGAAAGAGGATGAAGAGGCTCATGGAAAGAAGCACCATCTCTTTTAAATTATCTTTGGCAATATATATGCATCAATCGCGTCGTCTTTTATTTTATTTTGTTCAGCTTGGTTACCCAGTGAGTAACAGCCCTAGATAACATGCTTCGTGTATGGTGCTTAGCGGTGTAAATTCTTGAAAGTTTCCGCAGACTGTTCATGTAGAAAATTATATATGTTGATGATTATGTGGTTCCCTTATCATGTGTATCTTATAATTAATTGTTTTTGAGATGTGTGTTCCATACTGTATACATATCAGGCAATGACGCGGACTGCAAATTATAAGACTGACCTTCTTAGAAACTCTTTTAACTTTTAATCGATCATCTAGTTAATTTGCTCCATTAATTATTGTTAGAAAATATGAATAATATATACAATTGAAAAAAATACTCATCACAAGGTTTTAAATTTTTTTTAATAAAATTTAATCTCAATTATCAAATTTTATGTGTTATTTGAAACTCTCAAAGAGATTCAATGGTTTAGCAAAAATCTTAAAATACAAAACACTTAACAAATTCTTTAAAAAAAAAATTATAAGCGAGTAAAAGTGTTTGAAAATGTTTCTTGAATAGTTAAATAAAATATAAGAAATATATAAAATTAAGAAAATATAATTCAATTTCTAACTATCAAAAATTAGATAAAAAAATAAAGGATATAGTTTTAACTTTTGTGAGTTGGAAAGTGTTTCTATCAAATTTTGTTAAAAATAAAAACCCAATAGAAATATTGATGATCCAAAAGGTAGAGAGTAGAGATTTATCAAAAACTTGTGCTCTAGCGGTAATTGTATTTTTTTAACAAGAGATTACGGATTTAAATTTTAGCAGAAATTAAGAATCTTAAATATATGAGTTTTAAAAAAATAATATATATACATTGAAACATATTTTCCCGTAAAGGTGTGGGACCTTAATGGTGTATGCATTTTTTGGCTAAATTTTTCCAAGAAGCGTTAGCTTTTGCCTTTTTGTATTTGTCCAGATCGATTTGCATAGCCAACCGAACTTATATTTTACTCAAAGAAAAGACAAGAGTTCTCAAGCCTATCAGAAGGCCCATCGGATTTTTGAAACGGATAACATCTGCTACCGTTAGCTAGTCATGTTAGCGGCCGAAGACAATGGGTAATTATTATTATTATTATTATTATTTCTGACGTTAACAATGCTGTTTGTTTTTTTATCTTATTAAGATCTTGAAATCTAAGATTTAAGATAAATGCATCGTATGTGTCAGTAATTACATGAATATTGGTGCATGTTCAATAAATTATTTGTGATCTACATTTACATGTGTGCGTTTAGTTATATATTTGTTGTTAATAAAACTACTTGCTCTGCTTTATGTTGTGGAAGTATTTTGTACGGTTAGTTCAATAATATATTGCTATGGTTAAATTTAAATATCATGACCAAATAAAATATAATCTAATAATTTGGTCACTTGCTAGCTATCAAACTCAATTACCAATAAATTTTAGTACTGTAATATATATTAACTTCATTCTAGAAAAGTAATACTTTCAATCTCCTAAAAATATTTTACTTGAAAATCAATTCAAAATGAAATACTTTGTGATGTATATTCAATATGACATTTTGAAAAAAAATAAAAACCGACTGTTTGAAATATTAAAAGACATTAATATGAAAAATAGAATAGAATATGATAAATAAAAATATTAATAAAAAAAATAGCACAGATTTATTTGTCGTGATGTGTAATCATTGTCTCTAATAATAAATCGCATCTCTCAATTGGTGCAATAGGTTAAAGATGGCTTATTCTCCAAAATATAATAATTGATCATATACAAATGTGGCACGTGTAAATATTCAATTCCACTCTTCGAAAAAAAAATTTGTTGAAAACTTTTAAAAATAAAATGCTATTTTTAAAAATAAAACATTATTATTTTATTTCTCTCTTTTTATTGATATTATTGTAATTGCTCTTCCATTTAATAGCAAAAAAAATTGTTTAAAAACTAATTAAAACAAAACACTATTTTATAAGAAAAAACATCATCATATTATTTCTCTTTTCATACAAAATGCTCAACAATATTTACACTTATATATGAAGAGAACAATAATAAATAATTATTAAACTATAATTAATTTTTTTCATAAACACACAACGAGTTAATAATAGTCGTATAATAGATGGTAACGATGGTAATAATTATTAATAGTAATTAAAATTATTTAATATCATAATTATTAATTATATTAATATTAATCTAATTGTTTTTCACTTTATAGAAAAAAATTATTAAAAATTAATTATCATTATATATATTCGACATTACAAAAAAAAAAAAAAAAAAAAGGTCTCCGTAAGCTTAACATGTAAGTTTTAAAGACATAACATCTCACTCCATCACTATTGAGTCGATGCCAAAGTAAAAGGGAAAACATCTTTCTGATCACTAATTCCCTGTTCCCGTTAATGTCTCTATGCCTATTTCATTTGCCAGCACCAAACCCCTCAGCCTAAAAACTTAGCACTTCGCCGTCTTGTTCGCTACTCAAAAGTCATTGGCATCGTAATTACTAGCTTGCAAATGGAGTCCAAAAAACTATCATTATTAGCACATCTTATTGCAATTTTGGTTCTGTCATGATTGCCTATATTGATCTATTAGCTTGATTAATATCACCATGATCATTACCATATAACCAAATAATTCAATTTTCGCTCCAATTGCATATGCGTGTGTGTGATGCGTAAACGGGGTACTTAAGTAGAGCCTCGACGTTGGCCACTTTCTTCTTTGCAATCAATAATCAATGGGACTTTTAAGTTGCTGAAGGCAAAGATAATGTGTTTGATATGGTAATTTGAAGTTATTATAAGGTTAATTAGTTAAAGTTATCATGAACTATTGACCAACAGAAAACTGGCAGATATTTTTTATTTTGATTTGATCTTAACCTTTTTTTTTTTAAGCAATGGCATTATTATGTCTAGTTGATTGATCTCAGACTCATTGATTGCACGTGATCCTTTAATATCACTATATGTGTCGATAGATACACCCTCGTATATATGATTGAATTTTTTAAAAAATAATCTACTTATTTTTAGGTTTTCATGATTACGAATAAGGATTATTATGATTAGAATTAATATAAGAAATACGTAGATATTTTTTATTTATTTATAAGATCCTATGTAAAAAATGTCATGTGTTATGATATTAAAATATTATATATCTTTCACATATTTTTTATGTTGTTAGAAATCGACCAATTGAATGAAAGGATGATATCGTTCATTTTTATTGAAGTAAGAAAAATTAATATCTCTAGCATTATCTTGATAATTTTCAACAAAACAAATTTAGCTAGATAGTATCTCTAGCATTAATCCTTTGATTATCTATCCTTTCATTTTATCATACATGCATGTGATTCTCCTTATTCAATATCCTTTCTAACAAATATATCCTTAATTAGAATTCATTTCCCAATTTCCTCCTTAGAAAAGGATTCTCATCTCCAACCATTTAATCCATGTCTTGATCCAAGATGTCACTCTCAGAAATTAAGGTCATGTCGAGGCTCCTCTTTTTGGGCAGTGCACAATCAGGTTTAGCCACAGTTTACGTGGCGGGCGACTCATACGGTTGGGGTCCAAATAAAAATTATAACAATTGGCTAGTGGCAAGAGTTTCGCTTGTAATGACACTTTAGGTCAGTTTTTTTTTTTTTTTTTTTTTTTTGTCGTTAGGCGTAAGGTTTTATCAAGATTTTCAGCTTCACTATCTAGATAGCGATTTGACAAGACAATCTTGATAAGAATTAAAGAACTAAAATTATATGTTCCAACATGAACGACTGATCAATAATTATAAGAATTGGGGACTAAAAATAATTTGACTCTTTCTGTATTCGAGACCAAAAAGAAGAGAGGAATGGACTTTATCAGTCCAGCCCATGACCAAAGAGGCTCGCGTTTAGAAGGCCTATGGGTTTCTAATACACGGAAAGCTACTGAACATGCTGAAGAGTACTAAAAATATGCCGGACCAAAATGTTGAAATTTACTGGCTAGCCCACCCACTAAGACCCAATGAATCAACCCACATAAAAGCACAACCCTGTCAGAGGTCATGAATGCTCGGCTACCATCCTTAGAAAACAGAATTAGAGTTTTGTAAGCTCTATTTCAAGCTCACAAGTAAAACGCCAGCAGGGTTACTGCTTACATCAGCAAGTTATTCAGTGCAATATATGATCTATGGTTCTACACACTAGAACAGCATGCTTGCACAAATTAAAATAAAATGTCCAAGTATCCTTCGTTTTCATGTAACCCTTGGCATGGCTTTGTCGTTGCTGGAACCAAGATATGGGTAGCATTATCGAACAGAAATGTAACTAACGAATTTTTTAATAATAAATTTTATAATATATAAAGAATAATTAATAACATATATAATAATTTCATTGACTTATTTTGAAGACAGAGAGAGAACCAGGAAAGAAAAAATTAAAAAAAAATTAAACGAACGTAAAAATCTTCTTATCATTTTTAATGGATTCGGATATAATTCAATATGTATATCTCTCTTCTCAAAGCAGATACATAAAATAACTATTCTACATATCACTAATTACTATTTATGTATTATAAAATTTATCAATTTTAATAACCAAGTCACATACATGTTCTCCTTTGGTTAATAGTATTCAATGGCCAATGCCAAATTCTACTTGCTCTTAATTAAGGAACTAAACTTTCTTTACAATAATCTTGTTATGCTTCCAAGGGTGCAGGTACCGGTGAAGGAGGAGAATCCTCGGATTTAACACAATAAACCTTCAAATATGTTGCCTTCTTCGGACGTAAATCTCAGCGTATCAGTCATGGTTGGCCAGCATAGTAATGATGCGAATAGCTTGACAACATCCATGACCCAGGTTAGTTTCTCCGTTAAATAAGAAGAGAATAACTTCCCCAGTGAATGATTGAAGCTGCATCAAAAAATCCCAACATCTCGATGATTCATCATCGACTTGAACTCAACCCCAAAGATCGTGCATTTACAATTGAGTCAAGAAATTGATCGGGAAGAGGTGCGTTGAGGATTTATTCGAGCCCTGCAGGTTTATTTATATCGGAAGGATGACATAAGCGCCTCTGAAGGTTACGTGCCATGGGAAAGCACAGAGACGAAAGATGATACCATACCAGTGGAAGAAAATGAAGAGATAACTAATTAATAATTACGAGATAATGACAGGATGGAGTTACAATTTTTGAAGGCTGATGGCTAAACAGATATTTACGAGCCTAATTAACTTCTCTGTTCTATATTTTCCGTGTGATTCTTTTTGTTTCACTGCTTGATCTTGTTAAAGAGCACAAGAATTAGCACAAATGATAAAGAATTTGATTTGAGATATAGATTAATAATTACTCAAATAAAATAACCGTGAGATATTTAAAGGGCTCTTATGTTTCTGACGGAATATATGATAACATATACCATAATGCAATTTTAGAGACACTATAAGGATCTTCTCAAGTGAAGAATATGAGTCATCATTAAACTTTCGAATACAAATATGAAGATAGTATGATGTTTGTGATGAGTTGGAAAGGGAATTATTATGAAGACTCCTATAGCAGTTTGGTCCGGTGTCAGAATTATGGGCCCGATTTCACCAGCAAATTTGAGCTTCATGGATAGAATATTGTTGGCCCATTTACTATGTACCTTGTAGGAAGTTTCCCCAATATTAACATTGAAAAGTCCAAGTATTTAATATTTTAAAAATTGTGCATTGTCAAATTCGGTGTTTTAAAATGTATATTTGACACAAAGGTAATTTCATGGATACTAAATTGACATGTATTAAGAGAAAAAAATAACTTAAATCATGAAAAATAGATTTTATTATATATAATAAGATAATTATAATTATGAAATGAATGATTAATAAAACTCATATGCATGACACTTAATGAAAAAAATAATACTCCTCGAACAATGGGGAAAGCTGCAACACACTTGTAGTAGTGGTTAGTCAAAACAGCATGGCTGGCTTCTTGGTTGCATTGAACTCATTAAATCACAACACGAGAATGTCCCAGAAAGTCATTAATGTAAATATTTAACTTAAACTGTAATTCTCTAAAAGCAAAATAAATTGGAGCCACCCGCGACAAATTTGATAAAATATCAAAAATTTGGCAAATTTATCCTCTACATTCTCCCGCCATTTGTCGAAATCCAAATCCAAATCCTGCTGACCAAACACAAGAACTCCACAATACATTGCTTTCCCAAATCACAACTCCCCATAAAAATAAAAAATAAAAAATAAAAGAAAACGGTCATCTTAATTACGTGAGACACCCACACAGTAAATACTTTTGGATTCAAGTGCCATGCATCTTCTTGTGAAAGCGACACAAAACAATGTCTCTCCTTCTGAAACGTGGCTTCAAATATTTCCGTTCGATTAGCTTGTGTAATCAATTTCTAGAGTGTACACCGCACTATAGAGTATTGCAGTCTCCAGTTCTGCCGACGCAAAGGATCCCAGCTGGCTGTCCTCGAGCACGCATAATCAGTACATCAAAATTGGGATGGGCCCCGCGGTTGATGCGTTCTTTATGTTTTACACGTGGCAAATCCAGGTTGGTTGGCTTTAAGAAAACTATGATGATGAAGTGTTAACGAAGGCGGTATCCTATTTCGTTCAACTCGTTATTAGGGATGACCTGAGACTGAGATAAGCAAACGCCAGTCTGCTAATCATGCACGTTTTTTTAACATCTGATGCTTTGATTTAGAAGTTAAAATAGCTAGGTGGTTTGAACAGAAAACATTCAGATGGTGCAATAATTGTTTCTTATTTTTCCTTAATGTGACGGTTCATGTCTCTCTTTTTGGTCACAAAAAGGACAGGCTCTTGAAGAAATGAAGGAAGCTTGAATATAGTGGCCCTGCTAGCAGGAAAGATGGGTGTCTACCATACATGCTAATTCATTTACTTTCCAATAACCGTGTCAATCGGGCAAGCAATGTTGTGATCCTTGACGGCTCGCGTCTATGGAAAAAAATTGTGATAGTAACACTATGTTTGTTTTGTAAAAAAATATTTTTCAAGAAAAAATATATATTTTTTAATTTTTTTATTGAAAATAAAAATCAAAAAGTAAGTGAAGAAAATATATTTTTTAAGCAATCTTTGAAAAGTGTTAATGTTAAAAGAAAATATTATAACCTCGTAAAGTAGAGAAAATATTTTTCTGTATACTGTCTCCTAGTAATATTTGCAAACACAATAAACTTAACCATATCACATATATTATTAACATCACTGCTACTAATACAACAACAACTATTATTATTACTGTCACTCTATCACTTACAAACTAGCATCTCATTACTATAGTAACTATTATATTATCATCATAGCATCATAAATTCTATTATTCTGTATTATTATCGCCACCACCATAACAATCATTGTCATCTTATTTTCGCTATCATCACATCTATCTTGTAAATGTAATCACCACTTTATTATTATTTCTTCTATTATTGTCATAGTTCCAACTTTATTACTATTACAGTTATAATCATTATTATTAGGTATTATTGCCACCACGACCACTGTCATTGTCTTCTTATTAAAGTAATCATTTTAACAATTATTATTTTATCACCATTGCTATAACAACCGTCATCCTATCATGCTATTGTCATCAATATTATTTCAACAACAATCACCACGCCACTTCCATAACTAAAAATATCGTATTTTTTTTTATCTTATCACCATAATTCAAAATCACATAGGAAAAATAATTTATTTGGTAATAAATTATGATTTTTTAAAACATCAAAACGAAGAAAAATAATTCATTTTAAAAAATATTATCCTCAAAAAAGTATTTCTCATCAAACAAATATATCCTAAAAAGTATAAATCTATATAAAGAGGTTCTTGAAAGCTAATCGGATAACTGGTCAAAAAGGCTAGTTAAGATAAAAAAAGTTAGTATTGTGACTTTGTTGTAGAATGAACGATCAACCAACTAAGCATAAAATGATACAAATAGTAAGAGGCATGGGAATACTAGCTATCAATGTTAGCAAAATGCAAGTCGTGTGACTGACAGGTGGGAGGCCAAAGTCCAAACATGTGCAGATTTAGGTGTTGTCTAATATGTGAGTTGAAGGGTTTTAGGATGGAGAGTTCGAGCATTTGTTTTTGCTAGAGATTGAAAGTTCTAAAGCCCATAGTTCTCCGATGCAAAAGTTCGATCCCCTATTCATAATGTAAAATTAATATTTATAATGAAAAAAGATGACATTTGACTCGCTAGAATCATGTCACGTAATGTAAGTCCGGATGATCGATTTAGTTTGTAGAATTTAGGTTCTTTGATCGAACTACTTTAACTTACTTGTAAGAACTAAAATAAATAACAATTGAGATTTTTTTAATGGATCTTATTTCTAACCTATCAAACTAATTTTTCTAATACATTAAAAAAATGAGACATGAACATTATTCTTGTCGAACATTTACGTCCAACCATGCAATCTAAAACTTTATATTAGGCAAGGCTCGTCCTTGGTTTCCTTCATTTGCGGCGTAGTTCGACCCATATCAAAATTAAGAACCAAAATAGCATGGATTAACACATAACAAAAATTAACCAAGTTAGATTAATTAATTTTTTAAAAAATCGAACATGTACAATTTGTCATCCATACAATCTATAATGAATATAAAAAACTATATGTTAGAAATGAGTTCAGAGAGAAAGAGAAGCAAAATCAAAATTGAGTTTTGAGAGGTAAAGTTGAAAATGAATTCTTCTTAATTGTATTAACTTAATCACTAAATAATTTTTACAGAGTTTCATATATATATAGCAATGAATTAACAGATTCAATTAATTAACTAACTCTATTTTTAACCAACTAATCAAAAATATATTAAATATTAGCAGCCAGCCTTCTTCATCTTCTCCCACTATTATGCAGATACTTTCATATAAAATTAAAGGTGAATTTTACAGAGGCGGGGGAGGACGGCTTGGAAGACTTGTTTTATTTTTGACAAAGCGGCTTTGGAGACTTGCATTGCTCTTTAGATAATTGTCCACCGACAGGTAATAGGGCTTGTGATGCATAATAATAGCACCATACAATGATTTCCACGTGTTCATTTCTACCATGAATTACTGCTGTCTAATTGGTTAATAATTAGAGGGACAGCGGAATATTTATAACAGTAATTTGGTCAGTGCAAAAGAGTTTCAGCATCCAACGCGAAAGGAAAAGGGCATCTAGTCTACTTCCTACTTGCAAAAGTATATTAATTCTTGGTTTCGGCATCCAGCATAAGATACGTGGATTATTCAACTAGCACTTCGAACAATTGGTGGTTCTTTTAGTAGTTTATCCCAGCCGTCCTTCGAATTTAAGGTTATTGCAATGGATGGCTGAAAACACTTTGTGGAGGCGGGAGTCATTGACTCAAGAATCCGAGTGTGCAGTCCAGGTTAAAAAGTTCACTGATTTTAGTGTTATTTCTGTACTTGCAACATAGGCTGTCATTCTATTGTCTACTTTTTCTCATTTTTTATAGCTTTTCAAAATCATATCAATTGCATCCTTCCACTAACCAATTGCTATAAAAACAGAGGCAACTAATTTGTTTTCTATTTATTTATTATCGAAACTCTTCAGGGTAATTGAGAGCACATTAAATCTCAAGGAAAAAATTTGTAACTTATCTTTCCATAGTAATAACTGCTCCGTTAGTTCCTCTGGCAATTTACCAAAGGATGCAATTCAAATAATTTGAAAATGAGAGGGGAATATTGAGATGAAAAATTTGAGTAACGCTGTCTGGCCTACTGTGCCTCGAGGGCATGTAACGATTGCTTTTTTTTTTTTCATCAAGCCACCTGGTTAAATTGAAAAACCAGCAACAATCAAATACCTTTTCATGAATTTTATAGTTTTGACATGGATTACTTGATTTCGGTTAGATTAAAAAGAACTTAGTTTTGATGCACACAAGTTTGACCAAACATATCATGTGACTATTGAATAGAAAAAACCCACTGCCGTAAGAAATATTCTTCTCCAGCTCGCAATGTATGTATGTGTTTGTTCAATTACCTACTAAATAAATTTAATTTCTACCTCTGCTGAAGAAGTTAAACGTCCCGGTGACCGAACACATCAGATGTGACATAAACCAGACATTATCACTGGCATTTGGCAAATCCTAGTGAATTAGATCTAATTGGGTTAGTTCATGATTGCTCATGTTGATCGCAATCAATTACATTTCCCAGAAGGGAATGCTTAGAAATCAAATTTATGCAATGTCGCTTTGATGATTAATGGTGCTAGAAGAAACAAACTGCATCGCCATTATTTTCCCTATCAAAAGAACTAGAACCAATCAGCCTTTGCCATGTCAGGGGAATGTTCCCTTGAAGTAGAAACTACCCAATAGAGCACAGATCTGTTCATCTTCCTCAAAAGTATCATAAAAGAAGAGGGGGTCCGCTAGACAAATAGGGTCGGGTTGAGTTGAACAAAAGAAATCTAAAAAGCCAATCCACAGTCCCAGTGTCCCGTTCAACATTCCACATTCTTCACAATTATTGATTCCTTCGTGCTTTTCCACCTTTCCATTACCTTTTCTTTTTCCCCAGGTGTTGCATTGCAAAAACTGGGAGTCGTGACCAGGAAACTTGGGGCCTTTGCTGGTCATCCATGTAAGTTACTACTTACCGTTGAAATTGACGTGTATGGTCATGAGAGCTTGGATGTGCATTATTTACCAGGATCGGCTACATGAATCCAAAAGAAACTTTGAACCAAAAAAAACAAAACTTGATTCCATTTTATGTATGTCCAGAAGTCCAACTGGGTATACACACACATATATATATATATAAATATTTTCATGCAGGTAAACATTATTTGTAATTCTCGATAAAAGGCTTCCCGTTGTTAATTTCATAACAATTAAACCTCACAATTTATTAATTTTTTACTTTTTTTTTGCGATAAAGCGTCAATTAAATCTCACAATAAACCGGTTTAATGACTTTAAAAGACCACGTAGAATTGATTTTTGTCAAAAATAACTCTGTAATCCCAAAATGTACAGTTGGGTTCCAACAATTATGTTATGACATCTTTAATCTCTCCGTCAACACTCCGTCCAATTTTCCATCAGATGTTCAATTTTATATCTGAGCTGGGAAACGTGGCCGAACCTCATGGTTTCAATTATGGGTCCGCATGTCCACGTGTTCACTTCCTATAGGCTGATGATATGGCAATTTTCTTATTCACGAAAATTGCAGAAAAAGAAAATAAATTAAAATAATTAAACCAAAAACTAAATTAGATCTAAGAAGGATTAGAAAGAAATGAACAAAATCAAAACGCAAATGCCACATTCATTCCCTCTGTTCTTCGTCTCCATTTAACACAGATCACCTAGTCTCTAGAATGTATCTCGCCAACATCACTCTTGCCTCTATGCTCTCTCTCCCCGGCTCCATTTATTCAGTACGGCGGCAACTCCTCTTTCCTCTCACTCTCCTCTTTCGCTAGTTTGGTCTCTCCAATTATTGCTTTTGACAACAAAATTGAAACACAAAACTTGGTTTTTGCATTACTAAGATTTTTCGTTTTTTTTTTTTTGTTTTAAATAAAAAGAAAGGAGATCAGTCTCTCCCCATCCTGAATAATGACTTTTTTGTTTAGCCTAATTTAGTTAATGCTTTATAACTTCTTTCTTTTTTTTTTTTTTCGAATTTCTATATTTCAAAGTTTAAAAACAATATGTTAAAAGCTAGAACCAAATATAGCTGCTGATGTGTCTTGCAGGCCATACAGCTCCCTAAAAGAAATGGACAGCTGTTCATGTCGGACCCACAAAC